CTGTAATAATTGAGGAAGATGACGCATAAATACTGCACATCCGACTTATCACCCATGACCAAATCACCAGGGAACGCTCCCGATCTCGTCAGATGTCGAAAGCTAAGCGGAGTTGAGCCTGGATGGTGCTTGGATGGGCGACGACCGTGCACAACAAGTTGTTGTAGGTGACGGGCAACGTTGTGAGCAGCAGAGGGCAGTTTTGCAAACAACCATTGTGGTACGGTACTGCCCGCCAATGCACCCACTGCCGCGCCTCGCCAACTCGCAGCAACCAGCGCGAAGTACGGCAAAGTAGCTCCCACGCCCAGCACGGCGTGGGGAGGGCAAGGGGAGGGCAAGGGGAGGGCCTCAGCCAGCAGTGGACTGACACCAGGAGCTGTGCAAGGGGGGTTGCTTACAGCCATCGCGGTGGTGATAAGGTGATGTCGCACCGGGCATGTTGCGGCTGATTCATTATAATGCGGGTGGTCTTAACAACGGTGGTTCAAGTTCAAGTTCATTTATTAGGTATAGCCCTGTGAGCCATTCAGCTCTTGAATCGGGTGCAACCGCAACAAACAAAAAACAAAAACATGAACAAAAACATCTTAAAGTGAATGTGACTAAGTGCAAACTTAGTCACATATGGCGACAGTGATGTTCGATTATGAGGATGTTGTTGATTGGTGACGGTGATTATGCTTGCTGCTGCTGCTGACTGATGTCTAATGACACGGTGATGGAGGATGTTGAACAATGATGTTCAATGTGGAAGGACGATCATGATATTTACTAACGATGCTGATGTATCATGTCAATAATGTTTGCGGTGCTGGATGGCGATGACCTTGCGGTGGCGCTGTAACACAATGAAATTGTACTCCCGACCAAATCACCCATCACAGATTTGCCCCCCCCCCCCATATATGGAATTAAATTGGGCGTGGCATTAGCCGATGGGGGTGTCTTTGCACATAAAAGGTTTTATTTTGGTGTTTCTACCGTGCTGCTTCTACCACTGCCGGGCGACTCAAATACAGCAAGTTGGCACAGTAGGGGTCACAGCTGATGGTGCATCTACCGGTCATCTCAGTCAACCCATGGCACCTACTGGGTCTGTCCCGTGACCTGCACCTAGCCTGGCACAGTCGGAGTCACAGCTGGTGGTGCATCTACCGGTCATCTCAGTCAACCCATGGCACCTGCTGGGTCTGTCCCGTGACCTCCTGCACCTAGCCTGGCACAGTAGGGGTCACAGCTGGTGGTGCATCTACCGGTCATCTCAGCCAACCCATGGCACCTGCTGGGTCTGTCTCATGACATGCACGTAGCCTGGCACAATAGGGGTCACAGCTGATGGTGCATCTACCGGTCATCTCAGTCAACCCATGGCACCTGCTGGGTCTGTCCCGAGACCTCCTGCACCTAGCCTGGCACAGTAGGGGGCACCGCTGGTGGTGCATCTACCAGTCATCTCAGTCAACCCATGGCACCTGCTGGGTCTGTCCGTGACCTCCTGCACCTAGCCTGGCACAGTAGGGGGCACCGCTGGTGGTGCATCTACCAGTCATCTCAGTCAACCCATGGCACCTGCTGGGTCTGTCCGTGACCTGGCCTGGCACAGGCGCCGTGGTGACATCACCGTCGCTTCGTGGCGAATGGCGGGGATTGGTGTTGGTGGTCTTGTGGATCGTGAATCGCGGTTCTTGTATCAATTCTGCCCAGTCCATCCGGCACCCAGCTCTAAGTCAATCTGGTAGCGATCTTGAAAATTGACTACTTATTATTATTAAATTATATTACACGGTTGACATATACATAACGGCATTGATGTCCGATTTGTACGTAACTTTTTATATTAGTTTATTCATATAGTCGATCAAAGTGTTGTGTTAAGTTGATGTTGACAAATGTCATTCTTTAATGCTTAGCAATCTATGCTATGCCAATGTCCGATTTTATAATATCCGCGATTCAGTGTATAATATTCCGACTTCATCTTAGAACTGACTCTGTGAGTGTCCGATCTCGTATTAAACTTCACAAAGTGAGTGCAAACAAGACCATTACATTCTGACGTCCGACTTCATGTTAAACTTGATTCTGAGTGTCAGATTTTGTGTTAAACTTTATTCAGTGAATACATACAAAACCATGACATTCCTATGTCCTACATGTTTAACTTGAGTTTGTGAGTGTTAGGTGTTGTGTTAAACTTAATTCGGTGAGTGCAAACAATGACACACAAACTGAGACGTGAGTAGCGCCTCAAATGGTGCCACACGCACGCAGAGGAACACAACCACAAAGCCGCCACACGCATCAGGCGTCACGTCAGAGCCTCTCTGCACGGCACATCTGCTCCGCTCAACTCCGGCCGGCAGCGGTCTCGTGCCCGGGTGGAGAGGCTGCCCCCTGGTGGGGGGCCGCAGTACACCAACTCTGTCTCTCTCCCCAGAACAACAATCGGATGCAGCACCAACGCTTTGCAACAAACCTTGTTTCCTCCCTTAACGTCGGAAATCTTCCTTTAAAAAAATGTATTGAAACAGAAGATTCGTGCTGGATACAGTCACATTTGCAAATGTGATTTGTAACTTGTATCATTACACGTGTATCGATAGTTTCATGTTATTGTGCCATTGTATTGAATGACTCCTGCTGCGTGGTGTCATCTTGGTGCGGGCTCGGACTGTTTTGTTGATTTTTCTGCCTTTCCCAAGCTTGACCAATAGGACTTGTATAGTTAATGCATGTACAGTATTTATATTTAGTGACTTGCTGAACATCTTATATATTTTGCACTCCTTTAGTTGTTTATATTGTTTGCTGTTGACTTCTGTGAAACAAGAGCTTCATCGCTCATCGGATTCCTTCAGCCGAAATACAGATCCAGATCGTCATCGTAAGCGGCACTCCTCTGCACTACCAATTCCACAGGGCCTCTATCCGCACTACCAATTCCACAGGGCCTCTATCCGCACTACCAATTCCACAGGGCCTCTATCCACACTACCAATTCCACAGGGCCTCTATCCGCACTACCAATTCCACAGGGCCTCTATCCGCACTACCAATTCCATAGGGCCTCTATCCGCACTACCAATTCCACAGGGCCTCTATCCGCACTACCAATTCCACAGGGCCTCTATCCGCACTACCAATTCCACAGGGCCTCTATCCGCACTACCAATTCCACAGGGCCTCTATCCGCACTACCAATTCCATAGGGCCTCTATCCGCACTACCAATTCCACAGGGCCTCTATCCGCACTACCAATTCCATAGGGCCTCTATCCGCACTACCAATTCCACAGGGCCTCTATCCGCACTACCAATTCCACAGGGCCTCTATCCGCACTACCAATTCCACAGAGCCTCTATCCGAACTACCAATTCCAATGTTGGACAAAGAATCACGTGACCAGAGCTGACTTTATATTTCCCAATGCGCTTCCGCGACCGCCAACGCCCTCGTCTCAATTGGCTGCCACTGTCACGTGACGCTCCGGATGGCACCCAATCACGTGAGTCTGTCGTTGCCTATGCGCTCTACGAAATCAAATCGCTGTGAGTTTTCACGTGATCAATCAATCGCGGGGCCACGTGACCAGCGCGGGTAATCAACGAGCACGTGACCAATCAGGAGCGCGTGACCAATTAGGAGCGCGTGACTAATTAGGAGCGCGTGACCAATTAGGAGCGCGTGACCAATCAGGAGCGCGTGACCAATCAGGAGCGCGTGACCAATCAGGAGCGCGTGACCAATCAGGAGCGCGTGACCAATCAGGAGCGCGTGACCAATCAGGAGCGCGTGACCAATCAGGAGCGCGTGACCAATCAGGAGCGCGTGACCAATCAGGAGCGCGTGACCAATCAGGAGCGCGTGACCAATCAGGAGCGCGTGACCAATCAGGAGCGCGTGACCAATCAGGAGCGCGTGACCAATCAGGAGCGCGTGACCAATCAGGAGCGCGTGACCAATCAGGAGCGCGTGACCAATCAGGAGCGCGTGACCAATCAGGAGCGCGTGACCAATCAGGAGCGCGTGACCAATCAGGAGCGCGCGGACCCCCCAGCCGGCGAGAGCGTGCGGGGATGGAGGCGGAGTTCACGCGGCGCGCGCGCGAGCGCCGCTTCCTGGGCCTGGATGAGCGTGCGTGACCACCACCACAACCACCACAACCATAGCTCGCAACCACCACCACAACCACCACCAGGCTGCGTGACCACCACCACAACCATAGCTCGCAACCACCACCACAACCACCACCAGGCTGCGTGACCACCACAACCACCACCACGCTGCGTGACCACCACCACAACCATAGCTCGCAACCACCACAACCACCACCAGGCTGCGTGACCACCACAACCACCACAACCATAGCTCGCAACCACAACCACCACCACGCTGCGTGACCACCACAACCACCACCACGCTGCGTGACCACCACCACCACGCTGCGTGACCACAACCACCACCACCACGCTGCGTGACCACCACCACCACCACCACAACCACCACAACCATAGCTCGCAACCAACACCACAACCACCACCACGCTGCGTGACCACCACAACCACCACCACGCTGCGTGACCACCACCACAACCACCACAACCATAGCTCGCAACCAACACCACAACCACCACCACGCTGCGTGACCACCACAACCACCACCACGCTGCGTGACCACCACCACCACGCTGCGTGACCACAACCACAACCACCACGCTGCGTGACCACCACCACCACAACCACCACAACCATAGCTCGCAACCAACACCACAACCACCACCACGCTGCGTGACCACCACCACGCTGCGTGACCACAACCACCACCACCACGCTGCGTGACAAGGCCGCTGGAGCGTGGCCTCGCTTGCGTCACGAATGAAGATGTGACGAGCCCGGTTGTGGTCACGACCCTTAATTACTCGTTCATTACGAATGCAATTCACACGTTGATTTCCTGCTCAAGTTAGCACGGATGCATGTTTGTTGCTCTGAGCCAGTGGTGGACATTCCTCATGGCGGGGACGAGGCAATCCATAGGACTTTCATACGGAGCGGTTCTCCGTTGTATCGACCCCGGAGCGACGGTGACGATCGTCTGCGCCCAGCCAGGACGCGGCTCTCGCGAGCGCCACCGCGGAGCCGCCGCCGCCGGCCGGGTCGTGACCTCCGCGCCGTCGTCTTCACCGTCCTTGCGCATCGCCAAACTCCACCAGACTTCATACTTCACCAGCATTGACAGCTAAACGTGACCACCCCTTTATCGTCACGACCCTTGATTGTGTGCCGTGACCGTGACCTCGCGTGCCTGGACGTGCGAGCACGGCAGAGATGTGACGGCGCTTCATCGTCCGCGCAGCACACCGACAGCAATTAACAAAACAATCAGACATCGTCTCCACATCTCTAATAAAAATGTGTTTCTCACGTCCTATCAGCCGCACTCCCTCCTGGCTGCATGTTTTAGCAGCGCATGTTTCAGCGTCATTATTTAATTTCTCGTCATCGCCGAGTAATGTGCCAAGACTCGCTCCTTACCGAGGTTAGCGTCACGTCTTTGTATGTGCTCACTAGACACCTGACACACCATTGTATCAGTAATGTAACCGTTGCCACCGTCTGTATCCCTACCCTCACCCATATCTCTCATCCTTGCCCCTCGCCCTGCCCTAAGAATTATCTGACCCTGCCCTCTCACACTGCCCCTCACGGCCTGCCCTGCCCTTTTTCCTCCCGTCTACCCCGACGCCCCGCAGGCGAGTGGCAGGGCAGCTTCTTGTTTGTGCAGGGCGCCGACCCCCAGCTGGGGCTGATGAAGGAGTGGGAGTCGGGGGTGGTGAGCGCGGCGGGTGGGGACGAGTGGGCCGAGGAGCTGCGTCTCGCGCGTGCCGCCGTGGCCGCCGTCAACCGCATGCGGCCGCGGCCACGCTTCCTCGTGCTGTGCGGCGACCTCGTGCACGCCATGCCTGGTGAGGACGGCCTCACCCGCACGCTCGCCACATGCTCACCGCATTCTCCCACACGCTAACCACACAAACACCTCGACTGCACGCGCAACACACCTCAACAAGCTCACAACATGCCACGTGCACCCACGTACTATTGAAACTCGATCACCACGTACTCTGCGCACATGCACACTTCCTCCACGCACAAACCCCACTCGCTGCACCCACATATTCTACGTACAAACGCACTCACCACACACGGTGCTAGCACCCTCCCCGGCGTTGGAGACAACTCCAGCTACTGATGGAGCTACTGCTGCCACGATCGTGTCCACGCCAGCGTTATCCCCGTGCACCACCGCCGCACGCACGCACGCACAGACGGACGTGATGCTCGCAGACCGGTGCACCGCCTGAGGCTGAGACGGCCGAACTCATGCAGCTGTAATGAGAGAACGCAGCTCGCTCGGGACAGACTGCTCGTTCGATTGCACCACACGTTTAAAAGTGCCCCAGCTGTCCTGGCAGAGTAATTAACTAGGCTCTGTGTCGGCCGCGTCGACTTACCCCCATCGGTCGCGACGTCTGTCATCGTTGCCTCTCCCCATGGCCCCACATGGCACCGTCATTGTGGGGTCGAACGCTGGCAACCGTCAAATCGGTCACCGTCAACTTGGAAACGAGACTGCCATCAGAAAAGGCACGAATGGCAACGATTGCAATCAACACGCAGATGATTAAATCACCCCTAACCCTTTCACCTTTCCTCCCATGCTGCCCTTCCCGCTCTGTCTGCACGACGCGTCGCGTGGCGCAGGGCAAGCGAACCGCGCGGCGCAGGAGGAGGATCTGCGAGCCGCCCTGTGCGAGCTGGACCCCGCCATCCCGCTTGTGCTGCTGCCGGGCAACCACGACATCGGCAACGCCCCCACGGCCGCCACGGTGGAGGCTTACCGCCGCTCCTGGGGGGACGACTATTTCGCTTTCTGGGCGGGTGGCGCGCGCTTCCTTGTGCTCAACTCGCAGCTCTTCGTGGACGCGTCGCTCTGCCCCGAGCTGGCGGAGGAGCAGGAGCGCTGGCTCGAAGAGCAGCTCGAGAGCTACAAGGTGAAGAGCCGTCCACCCTCTCCCCTCGCCACCACCCGCCGGCCCCGGCGAGAGGGCGCCCGGGTGAGCGGCGGGCTCCCGCCCGCACTTGGCCCCCACCGCGATCGCCGGATGGTGCCGGCGACGCGGGTCTGTCGGACGTCCCCCGACTTTGCGGCAAGTGCCGCTACGTTGGCTCGCGTGCTGGGGTGCTGTGATTGGGGTGTTGTTGGCGTTGGGGTGTTGCCCTGCGCGTTTGTCACGTTGTGTCCTTGCGTGTCGCCGCGTCGCCGCCCCTTGTGTCTGCAGGCGGAGGGGCCGCGGGGGCCGCTCGTCATCCTGCAGCACACGCCGCTCTTCCTCGTCGCGCCCGACGAGGACGACGACTACTTCAACGTGGAGCGCCATGCGCGACGGCGCCTCCTGGACAAGTTCAGCGCCGCTGGTGACCGCCACCTCACTCTCCCAACCAGACCCACACACGGTTGTTGAATCGGGTTTTTTATGTTCGTGCAGTGAAACGTACGCCAGCCGCGACCTCTGGGCGGTGACGTAGCTCGGCGCTAGCACGTTCGCCACTTGGAATCCAGAAGGCCACCCTGGTTATCCTGCGGATGTCAACCGTGAGGCTGTACTCTGTTGCACAGTGGACATTACAGTATCCCGATTTCGTTAGAAACACGCAGAAATCACCACCCCCTACTGGAAGGCTCATGCCCGCTCAGGCCAGGTGCTGAATCACCTCGAGCCAGGACGGCTACCACTGGGGCTGTCGTTTGAATGCGTGAAATCTTCTTTTCGTGTCCGTCCACCAAAGTCGGTGTCCTTCGAACGGCGATCGCATCTCGGCGCTCGCGGGTCGCCTGCTGCAAGATCCTGCACAGTGCAGTGCCCTTTCTCCAGCAGTGGGCAGAGCAGCAGGTGTCACACGGTCCTCTCTGCCTCTCGCTACCGTAGTCGCAGCAGCTCTCAGGTTGTGTACTGCCAAGTGGCCGGGTTGGGTGCCAAGTTGGTTCGGTCATCCACGTGGTCCACCCCGCGAATTTACCTGTGGAGAGTTGTCCACTCACCTCGATTCCCACGCTGATCTCGGCACCGATGCGTCCGAGTTGCTCCCGCCACGTCTCCTTGCAGGAGTGTCGTTCAGTGCGAGGAAGCTCCTTGACTTCAGCTGTGCGGGTGTGTCGAGGGTGTCTGCTGTCTCCGTTTTGTGCGAGATGTGATGTAAGCTTGTTGTGTGTGAAGCGCTCCGAGACGCCCCGGCGTGTAATGGCGCTCGAGCAAAAGAAATCGTTATTGCAGGTGAAGAAGCTGGAGGCTGACCGGCGCTCACCTGTGTCACCCGCGTCGTGTCGCCACTCGCAGGTGTCTGCGCCGTGTTCACCGGCCACTACCACCGCAACGCGGGAGGGCGCTGCGGCGCCGTCGAGGTGGTGGTCTCCTCTGCCATCGGCTGCCAGATAGGCAGCGACGTGTCGGGTCTCCGTGTCGTCACGGTAACCGAGGCTGGCGTGCGACACCGATATTACGGGATGGACCAGGTCCCGGAATGCGTCGAGCTTGACGTGGAGCAGTGACCCTCGCGGAAAAACAACCGGGCGCGGCGCCTGATTAGCACAGGGTGGCGGCCGCTGCTGCTGCAGCTGCTCACAATAGATTTTTTTAACTGAGAAAAGCATATGGCCTTCGTAAAGCTGGGTCATCGAGCTGTAACTCGGGTGTCGGGTGTGCGTGTTGAACGTGGATTTAGGAATGACGGGATGGATTGGGGGGGGGCAGTGGGGAGGGAAGTGGTGGGGCAAAGAGTGGTGGTGCGAAGGCGTTGCCAATAAAGCGCCCGTGTCATGTGGGAGTGGATGCGTCATGGGCCCTGCTTGAGATTCAGCGTGCGCGCAGGCCGCGCCGGGACAGGAGCACACAGCTCACTTGTATTTAGGTCGTTTTAATGTTTAATCACGTATACGCCGTGGTTACATTGTAAACAAAAACACCAGGGATTATATTACACGCTGGTCTCGCTGCGCTACCAGGGAAGCCACGTATTGCTTTGCCTCGACACCGCTCGCACCTCTGTCCTCTTCATTTCTGGCTCGCCAGAAATTGTTTCTGTAACCATTATGGAAATTACGCCACCTCTAGACCCTGCAGCCGAGACGAATCGGTCAGCGACAAAATGCAGCGTTCCCCACGGCCGTGTCAGGCCCAGGCACGGCTCGGAGAGGGGTCCGCTTGCCTCGCCGGGCCTGCTGTTCACACAGACGCACGGCTGGAATGTTTTTAGCGAGTAGTATTAGCTTGGAATGGACAAAAACCCCTACATTTTCTATGTAATTTCACTAGTGTATGACTTGTAATTATAAATATATGGAAGCGTGGACATCACACGGTCTTACAAAATACCCACTGAAGTCGTGTACATATTACGAGTGCGTTCCATAAAAAGCTTACGTATGTATGTATGATTACACAATCACAGGGCTCATGCACATTTCGAATTGTAGACGAGAGTTATTAATATTAACATTACAACGTCAAAAAACGATTGGGTTGTAGTGGTGGGGAATGCAGCTGTGCTTACCACCGACACAGGGGCCCACACGGCCCAGGCCCCCACTGCGTGGACGCGGGTGAATTGGGCAGGCTTGGGGCGTCACGTGTCGTGTTGATCGACAAAAATACCTGCAACACCTGGGGGGCCGAATATTGAGTATGGCGCGTGTGGCGGCCCCCAGCCACCGCACGTGCACAAGCAGCCCTTGTATCGGCGCTGCCGAGGGGGGCGCCTGCCTACGGCAAGCGGGGACGGGCGAAGGAGGAGAACTGACACTGTGAGAGCGAGCCCAACGATGGGGGCGAGAGTTGCTCCGACTCCTCCATGCAGGAGACTTTGGCAGGAGAGGGGAGCGCTACTGGTCACGTTGGGTTTGGAGGGCCCACTGCCCGGGCTGCGGCCTACACCTTGGTTTGCTCCAGCCTCCTCGTGAAGTTCACTCGGCACGGCCTCCTCTTGATTTGAAGTTTAAGATGCACGACACGGTGGTTGTGGGGGCAGATGGCCCAGTTATGGCCGAGACTCGAGGATTTCCATGTGGTACAGGAACAGAAGTGTCGGGATTGGATCCCCAGACCGGTAAATCAATGGATAGCTTCAAATCATAGAAAAACCTCTGGAACTAAATACCGACATATCTCATTGAAAACTAATACACTGACGGAAAAGCCGTCGGAAACTCAGACTACTGAAAACGCCAAAGGAAAATCCAGCGAATTATGGAAAAGGCAAGAAATGTGAGGAAAATCTTAAAATAGACGGAAAACCCACAGAGTATAAATCCACTGGCACACTCGGCCGCTAACATCGACGTGTGGCCGCTGCGTTATTGCTAATGTTATTGCAGCGTCCCCATCAAGTGCCACGATTCATTACGTTTAGGGAGAGCGGCCTCCGCTAGAAGCTCCTTCTCACCATTGTCCAAAAAGGACAAGCGGTTGAATCGGACGCACGCGAGCGATGGATATAAAACGATGACGATCTCGGAGAAATTCACGGTAACATCAACTTTTCTTCTTTGCCACCAAAGACGACGCGTGTGATTAAAATCCAGTGCTGGCTGTGATTGTGGCCTGGGCTAGTTGGGCACGTGCCGCCCCTGCAGGGCCCAGAGATGCATCCTGCACAACGCAGCGCGCGTCCACGACCGACGGTGCGGCCCGCGGACCGGCCTCGTGGGTTCGGCCCGGGGTTGCCACGGTGGCCCCCAGGTGTTTCGTTCCGCCGATCGTTCCCTCGACAAAGATGAACAAGGTCGCGAAGAACGCGCGACACACGTCGCCGCACACACCCCGCTCATCCGAACCACGACCCGAACATGTAAACTGTGTACGAATCACGACACACAATCCGGGGACACACGCCGCGCTCCATGGCAATCCACAACCTCTGCTCCGCGCGGGGCTCTGCGGGGAGCGACCAGGGCAGCCAGGGTCACTGTGAGGCCGCACACCCTCGCCCGCAGGGACATGGGGCCGGGGCAGTGGGGCCACCAGCAGCACCGTTGCACGCGCCGCTCGCACGCGAACCCGCACAGCACACGCCACGGTGGGAGACTGCAGGGGCCCATCGGCAGGAACGTGGGGCAACTTGCATTCGCCTTGCAGACGAGACGAGGTCAGCGCCGTTCACACCGTCACCTCGGTCTTGCTGAGCGTCGTCTGCGAGGGTCTGAGCGCGCTCTGCTGGCGCTGGTGATGGCGGCCGCTCCCGCTGCCGCTCGTCGGGATCCTGTCGAGGGTGCTGTGGTAGCGCAGGGGCCCAGGCCAAGTGTCCTGCTGGGACAGCTGCCCCCGCACCCCGGGGCCCCCAGGACCCTGCTGCTGTTGCCCCCGCGTGTGGTGGTGCTGGAGAGTGTGGTGGTGCTGCTGCTGCTGATGGTGCTGTGGCTGGTGATGCTCGTGCTGGTGATGTTCGTGCTGGCTCTGGTGCTGGCTCTGTTGGTGCTGCGGCGGCGGCTGGTGGTGGTGGTGGTGGAGCGGGTGGTGGTGGTGGTGCTGCTGCTGGTGCAGCGCCTGGGAGCCCGAGCGCGACACGGAGTCCCCCTCGCCGCGGGGGAGGGAGCGCTCCCTGGCGGGGCTCGCCCACGCGCCGGGGTGCGAGTGCATCTTGGTCATGCGGCTCTTGGCCCCTGCCAGCTCGTCCTCGTCCCCGCGGCCGCCCCCCTTGCCGCTCGCCTCGCTCGCCTGGCGCGACGTGCTCGCTTTGACGGGGCTGGCAGAGCGCAGGGGCAGGGAGGTTGGCGGCCCCGCGTCAGAGGAGAAGTGAATCTTCCCCAAGTGATCCAGGAGCCCGGACTTCTCTGCAATAGCACGGACACGGGGGGCAGGGTGGGGGACGGCGCACCCGCTTATGAGAGACACCCAGATGGACCCCAGTCAGCATTGATGGATTTATCATCCATCCCCACGTTGAAACCGACGAAAATTGCTGTGAAGTGGATTTATATTCAAGAATCAATTTCCAAAATTTCACATTTGAGCATCTCTACCACTGTCACGTCCAAATAAAATCTCGACACGAGGTAATTCCTCCCCTCCACAAACCATTTTGGGTGATGTCTACATCCGTGTATTTCATCCAGCGAGTTCCATCTCAAATTCTGTCCAGAATTCGATGGATCTCCCCACCAATCTTATCTCCCGCTCACTCCCATAGCCACTCTCCAACATCACTTCAAACACCAAGTCCATCGTTCTCGCCACCATCGCACCCATCACTTTGTGACTCCCTCCCTAGGCCACCTCCTAGATCCAAAATATCCTTCAGCCCCACCAGAGACATGTCTCCACCGCTCTGCTGACCCCCCCATTCTGTCACCTGATTCCAGCTTCAAAGAGACCCACCAATCCTCCCGTCGAGCAAACATCCCGACACCCGCGCTCCCCAACCGTCTTGTCTCCACCGCCGTGCTGCCATCCACTCACACCCAGCTCCGTGTTGCTTCCCTGCGCGTTGGGGACGGAGCGCCCGGCCAGCAGAGGGAGCCATGGGCACGTGGACCCAAATCTTTGGGAAGGGCATCCTCACCAATTCGTTTCGGAAGGGAGGGATGTCGGCCTCCCTCCGCCTGATTGACTGCCTCGTAGGTGGGCGGGGCTTCCGAGGCCAGGTGCGGCTGTGAATGAAAGATGGTCTTGAGCTGGGGCTGATCTAGGAATGAAGAGAGGACGGAGAATACACAGTGAATCAGTCACGGGGAACACGGCGAATCGGTCACAAAGCACACGGAGAGTTGGTCACGGGGAACACGGAGAGTTAGTCACTGTGAATCAGTCACGGGAAAGATGAATCAGCCACGAGGTACGTTGCAAATCAGTCATGGGGAATTAGTCACGTGCATGGTGAATGTGTGCATGGTGAGTATCCCTGGCGTGGTGAGCATGGTGTGTGGTGTACGTGGTGAGTATGGTGAGTGAGCGTGGTGAGTGTACCCAGGCTGGGCCTCGCTCCGTGCATGAACCCGGCCTCCATGGAGGAAGCCCGGGGGGGCAGCATGGAGGGGAACCCCGGGGTGGAGCCGCTGTCCGTGGGCAGCGCCAGTCCACTCTCTTGGCGTGCAGACACGTCCAGCAGCCTGGGCGAGGGGGCAGGGGAAAGAGGGGGAAGCGGGGGTGAGAGAGAGGGGAGAGAGTGAGGGGAGGGCATGGGAGAAAGGGAGGGGGGCAGGGTAGGGGGGCATGAGAGAGCGGCGGGTGAAAGGGAGGGCAGGGGAGAGTGGGGGGCATGGGAGAGAGGAAGGGGAGAGGAGGCACGGGAGAGCGGTGTGGGGCAGGAGAGAGGGGGGGCAGGAGAGAGGGGGGGCAGGAGAGAGGGGGGGGCAGGAGAGAGGGGGGGGCAGGAGAGAGGGGGGGGCAGGAGAGAGGGGGGGCAGGAGAGAGGGGGGGGCAGGAGAGAGGGGGGGGCAGGAGAGAGGGGGGGCAGGAGAGAGGGGGGGGCAGGAGAGAGGGGGGGCAGGAGAGAGGGGGGGGGGCAGGCTGACTCCTCTCCTCCAGCTGGATCGGGAGCTGCAATGAGTACGATCGCTCACCCCCCGCCCCCCGTCACTCACCATTCATCTCGTCACATCACCCTCGCTCACCCCATCGCATTCACCTGCACCCTCACCCCTCACCCTGCAGCCCCAGTGCTTCACAAGGGGACGGGTTGAGACATTGGGAGCATTCCCCAGGTAGCATCACAACATAGGCGCGCGCTGATTGCTGTCCGCATGCACTGCAGTGCACGCACACAGACACGCTGGGCCAAAGATCTCCCGTATAGCCTACACAGGCAAGTGTTGTTTGCGAGCACCTATGAAGACCAATAGACTACACAGGAGGATGGGGTAGCCAGCACCGCGCTAGGCAGCCTTTGTTTCCCGATGGTGTTGATGTTTACACACCGCACCAGACACTCATCTTCGTCGTTGATTTTGGCCGTGATCGGGAATGGAACTGAGAGATATTCACACTCACACAGCATCTGCAATTTGGCAGTGGCCTCGCTCCGTCGAATCAGTCGAGCGGCATTCTCTTTTCATCAGCTGCGCAACGCTGTGTGGAAGCTGCCTGGCCTGTCCGCACATTTATGCCCTCCCTTCTCTATGCATGCGAAACGTGGTGCCCTTTAAAGGAACATACTTCAGGCTGGCCTGCCTACGATCCATCCGGAGTTTAACCAGCCTGGATTATATGAGGAGCGCAAAGATTCTCGAAAGCTCTGGACACATTCCCGTCTATGAGTTTCTCAGGCAGGCGAGGCTGCGTTGGCTGGGTAATGGAGCACGCCAGCCCAGCCACCGCATGCCCAGCAGCTGCTGTTTGGCCAGATCAGAGCTCGGCAACCTGCGGCTCCAGAGCCGCATGCGGCTCTTTAAGGACTGCTTCGTGACGTTATTCATATTCACTGGGGCTCTTGAAATATTGAGTTCTTACCGAATTGGACATTTTTTATTTTCTTGTTATTTTGGTTGCCGACCCCTGGGCCAGATAGGGGAGGGGGAGAGGAGATCGAATGATGTGCTCGGGAAGGACGTGGAGCTGATTGGACTTGCAGATGACTGGTTCCAGCGGCTTTAAGATCGACCTCTGTGGAGGAGGATCGTGAAGGACGTTACTGGGCAGTTGGAGGCAGTCGCTCTCCAACAATAATGGACAGAGTAACGACGCTCACAACAACTAACGTAGCGTCAGGCGGCTAAAACGCAGAAAATTCGCACAGACGGGAGCACAAGTGATGCATCTGCCAGTCATTTGAGTCAACCCATGGCACCTGGGTCTGCCCCGTGACCTTACAGCGAGCCTTCTACCCCTCACGTGGCCTCAACGTGCACCTAGCCTGGCACAAACATCGTGGAGACGTCAATGCCTCTTAGTGGCGAAGGGCAGCTATTGTAGGTGTGTATACACGTGTGAGCGTGTGTGTGTGCACGTGGGGAGCAGTGGTGTAGTGGTTAGCGCGCTGTGCTCGAACTCGCTCACTGTCTACACAAATTATGTATATCTGAACTGGTCCTGGGCCTCTCTTAGGGCGACTCCGCCTCAAATGAGTACCTGATGCGGTGTGTAAACTTCGCCACTGGGGAGACAAAGGCGGTCGGGCGTGATGTTGGCCATCCACCCCCTCGTGTGCCGTGCCGACTTTCAAAGGTGCTCGCTCACATCTCTTGTTCCTACAGTCTGCAGCTACGCGGGGTTCTTTGTGTGCACGTGGAGCGGAGCGGTTCGCGCGCTGCGCCACGCCTCCCGCTCACGGTCAACGCCAGTGACGATTATCTGAACCGGTCTTGGGTCATCTCTCAATCTCGACTCAACCTCAAATGAGTACCTGCTCCGGTGTGTAAACATCGTTATTAGGGAGACAAAGGCGGTCGGGCGTGGTGCTGGCCACCCCCCCCCCCCCTCGTGTACCGTGCCAGATTTCATAGGCGCTGGCTAAAAGCAAAAGGGAGATTGTTGTCTTTGTGTGTACACCTATGTGTGTGTACACGTGTGTGTGTGTACACGTGTGTGTGTGTACACGTGTGTGTACACGTGTGTGTGTGTACACGTATGTGTGTGTACACGTATGTGTGTGCGCGCACGTGGTGAAGAGAGTGAGTGTAACATGCGACTCCTGGCATCGCAGTCTCGCAGATGAAACACGGAGCCTTCATCCATCATCATCCTCAACCACAGAAGAGCGACAATAACTACAGCAACCGCAACCTCCACAACCACCGCACTAATAATCACAACGACCACACCAAAGAAACGACAAAAAGCCACGAACCCAACCACAACCGTCCGCTACTGAGCGGCCGTGCTCCCCAGCACCGGGGAGAGGAGCTCGCAAACCACGTCTCGCTTTGTGCACGAGGCCCCTCGGGTCGTCCAAACCCAAACAGAACCCCAAACGCTTCGGATAAACCCCCAATCCCCACACATAGAAACCCCGAGCCCTCCACACAGAGACACCCAAGCGCCCACACGGGCCCCCTCCCGTGTGGTCCCGTCTCCTACCTGCAGTGTCCGCCCGGCTCCCCAGGGGGCTGCGCGGGCAGCAGCCCCCCCGCGGGCTTGTAGAGGCCGACCTTGGTGAAGATGCCCGCCAGCAGCATGAAGGCGACGATGCCGCACACCGAGTACACCACCATGTGCGTCTTGTCGCGCGTCGGGCCGAAGGGCCCCACGACGTCTGGGGGCCCCGTGGAGTCGTTGGCGAGGCGCGGGGTCTCGTTCTTGACGCACTGCGTCTGGTTGAGGCGCGCGCTCGGCTCCTTGCAGCAGTAGCGGAACCCGCACGAGCCGCAGCAGATGAAGAAGGGGTGCTTCTGGCACACGAACGGGGGGTCGAACTGGCCCATCACGTCGTAGTAGCCGCGGCACTGCTCCGGCGTCTGCTCGTGCGACGGTTCGGGCGGCGGCGACGGCTCCGCCGTGGCCCCGGGGGGCCGCGTGGCCGAAGCGGCGCCTCCACTGGCGGCCCACGCGCTGGGCCCCCTCGCCGCCGCGACCCCCAAAAGCAGCGGGACGAGGCGGGCGAAGAGCCAGCGCGACCCTCGCATGGCGCCACGAACTCCTCTCCCCCCACCCTCGATCACCCCCACCCCCCCCTCGAGTGGGGGGGCGGGGTGGGGAGAGACCCTGGTCCTGAAAACGCTGACCCTCAGTGACCCCCTCCCTTGTCTCGGTTGTCGTCACGCTCCCCTCCTCGTTCTCCTCCTCGTCGTGACTCCGTCTGGTGGTCACCGAGGCTGTGGGGGTCCTCGGGAGGTCAATGTCAGGTGGAGGGGGGTCCTCGACGGTCACGGACCGGACCTCTGGGTCCCTCCGCTCAGCTCCCTCGATCCGGCGTCGTCGTCGAGGGAAGAGCGGCTGCTGCTCGACGTCCTCCTCGTCCTCCTCCTCGTCGACTTCCTCCGAACGAACGAACGCGCGAAATCCCAGTTCCTCCGCCCGAACCCTGCTCGGGTCCCCGTCGCAGGGTCCCAAGTTGCTGGGGTCCCCCCCGGATCGTCCCGCTGTGATGAGCGCGACGCCGCGCTCCTTACCTCGCGGCCCTGAGCGGCGCGGGCAGCCGAGACGCGGGTGCCCCCCCCCTCCTCCTCCTCGGGCGCGTGAACCCGCGGAGCGCAGCAGCAGCAGCGCGGAGGCAGCGCGCGCAGAGCGAGCGGCTCCCCGTGGCCACTCGAGGCGCGGGGAGACGGGACGAGTCTCGTGGAGATGGAGCCGAGTTTGGAGCGCGACGCGGAGCTGCAAAGCGCAGGGATGAACTGGTGAGATGTCGAGAAAATAAACTACGGTTCTGTGAAGGAGTGACCTCGTGAGATACGGAGAAGATAAATTATGATGATGTGAAGAAAGGTGTGTCATGGCAAAATCCGGTTATCCTGGGCGTGTGCTCGTCCATAGAAGGATTTATGGAACAAGAATCGAGGGAACAGCGATTCCGTCCACAGAAGCAATTGGGACCCCGTGCTATTTGCCATGCTCGCTCGACCCCTTGCTCAAACCCACGCGTAGAGACGGCACGATCCACGTGGAGATGGAGCCGCGCCGCTCCCCGTGGAGATGGAGCCGAGGCGCTCCCCGTGGAGATGGAGCCGAGGCGCTCCCCGTGGAGATGGAGCCGAGTTTGCGGCGCGCGCGAGATGAATGGACGCGCGGCTGCTGCGTGCGGCGCTCTCCGCGAGTGGAGCGGAGGTGGGGGCGGCGCCTGCCGAGCGGGGTCCGCGATGCTGAATTGGGGGGGGGGATGAGGGGGGAGGAGGGGGGAGGGGCCTCGCGAGCGGCGCGCTCGGCCCCGCCCCTCGGCTTCACCGCCGCGCTTGGAGGCAGCGGAGATCTGTGTACGTTTCTCATTGTGGGGGGGGGGGGGGGTGCTGATCTGATCCCATTGTGGGGGGTCGGGTCACTTGCGGGGCTTATGCTTGCTTGGAGCACGTTTTGTTTGCTCTGAATCGGTGTCTTTGTTGCTCGTGACAATTGAAGGAACGAGAGGCGCAGAGTGGCCGCGGGCTCGAGACGCGTCGCGACACAAACCGCGCGCCGCACTGGACGCTCGCGTCCCCCCCCCCCCCATACACGAGGCGCGCACACAGCCTGCTGCACGGGCACCCTAACACGCACACAGCCTGCTGCACGGGCACCCTAACGCACACACACAGCCTGCTGCACGGGCACCCTAACGCGCACACACAGCCTGCTGCACGGGCACCCTAACGCGCACACACAGCCTGCTGCACGGACACCCTAACACGCACACAACCTGCTGCACGGGCACCCTAACAGGCACACAGCCTGCTGCACGGGCACCCTAACGCACACACACAGCCTGCTGCACGGGCACCCTAACACGCACACACAGCCTGCTGCACGGGCACCCTAACACGCACACACAGCCTGCTGCACGGGCACCCTAACGCGCACACAGCCTGCTGCACGGGCACCCTAACACGCACACACAACCTGCTGCACGGGCACCCTAACACGCACACATACAGCCTGCTGCACGGGCACCCTAACGCGCACAAACAGCCTGCTGCACGGGCACCCTAACACGCACACAGCCTGCTGCACGGGCACCCTAACGCGCACACACAGCCTGCTGCACGGGCACCCTAACACGCACACAGCCTGCTGCACGGGCACCCTAACGCGCACAAACAGCCTGCTGCACGGGCACCCTAACACGCACACAGCCTGCTGCACGGGCACTCTAACACGCACACAGCCTGCTGCACGGGCACCCTAAGATGCACACACACATCCTGCTGCACGGGCACCCTAACACGCACACACACAGCCTGCTGCACGGCACCCTAACACACACACACAGCCTGCTGCACGGGCACCCTAACACGCACACACACAGCCTGCTGCACGGGCACCCTAACGCGCACACACAGCCTGCTGCACGGGCACCCTAACGCGCACACACAGCCTGCTGCACGGGCACCCTAACGCACACACACAGTCTGCTGCACAGGCACGCTAACGCGCACACACAGCCTGCTGCACGGGCACCCTAACACGCACACACAGCCTGCTGCACGGGCACCCTAACACGCACACACAGCCTGCTGCACGGGCACCCTGACGCGCACACAAAGCCTGCTGCACAGGGCACCCTAACGCGCACACACAGCCTGCTGCACGGGCACCCTAACGCGCACACACAGCCTGCTGCACGGGCAGCCTAACACGCACACACAGCCTGCTGCACGGGCACCCTAACGCGCACACACAGCCTGCTGCACGGGAACCTTAACGCGCACACACAGCCTGCTGCACGGGCACCCTAACGCGCACACACAGCCTGCTGCACGGGCACCCTAACACGCACACACAGCCTGCTGCACGGGCACCCTAACGCGCACACACACAGCCTGCTGCACGGGCACCCTAACACGCACACACAACCTGCTGCACGGGCACCCTAACACGCACACAGCCTGCTGCACGGGCACCCTAACACGCACACACAGCCTGCTGCACGGGCACCCTAACGCACACACACAGCCTGCTGCACGGGCACCTTAACGCACACACACACAGCCTGCTGCACGGGCACCCTAACGCGCACACACAGCCTGCTGCACGAGCACCCTAACGCGCACACACAGCCTGCTGCACGGGCACCCTAACACGCACACACACAGCCTGCTGCACGGGCACCCTAACACGCACACACACAACCTGCTGCACGGGCACGCTAACACGCACACACAACTTGCTGCACGGGCACCCTAACACGCACACACACAGCCTGCTGCACGGGCACCCTAACGCGCACACACAGCTTGCTGCACGGGCACCCTAACACGCACACACAACCTGCTGCACGGGCACCCTAACACGCACACACAGCCTGCTGCACGGGCACCCTAACACGCACACACAGCCTGCTGCACGGCACCCTAACGCGCACACACACAGCCTGCTGCACGGGCACCCTAACACGCACACAACAACCGCTATTCGCCACTAAGTGGCGGTGACGTCACCACGACGCTTGTGCCAGGCCATGTGCACCTTGAGGCCACGTGAAGTGTCGAACGCCCGCTGGCAGGAGGTCACGGGGCAGAGCCAGGTGGCACGGGTCGACTGACTGAGATGACCGAGACGACTGGCTGATGCACCACCTGTGCCCCCTACTGTGCCAACTTGCTGTGCTTTAGCCACCCGGAGCTCCGCTCGTTGTTATGAGCGTCGCTCCTCCGCCCTCCGTTGTTGTTGGAGGGCGACTGCCTCCAACTGCCCAGTAGCGTCCTTCACGAGCCTCCTCCACAGAGGCCGATCTTGACACCGCTGGTACCAGTCATCGGCAAGTCCACTCAGCTCCACGTCCTCCTGTACCACATCACTCCATCTCTTCTCTAGCCCGTGCCGCTCCCGTTTCGCCCACACACAGCCTGCTGCACGGGAACCCTAACACACACACAGCCTGCTGCACGGGCACCCTAACACACACACAGCCTGCTGCACGGGCACCGTAACGCGCGCGCACGGAGGGACACTGCTGCACGACAGCCGAGCTTCCGAGCTTGTGTGTGGCTCGGACAGCTGTTGAAGGGGGGCGGCAGTGTCGGATCACAGGCGGGGGGAGAAATCGCCCCCCTGCCCCCCTTCATCTTGAGACCCTAAACATCTGCACGTTATTGATGTTTGTACACATGTGTGCTGAACTAGTTTCGCATCGTACGTCGCCAACAGTGCTCATCGGAGGTGCGTGGGAAGGACAACAAACTAAACACCAAAAGGTGAATGTGTACATGCTCTTCTTACAAATGTAGGGGCCCTGTCTTTTTTAAGGTTTTACTTTTCTGGACCGCCTCTTGCCGCACCGCAATGGAAGCTGTGGGATCGAGAGGCGGCCCGGGGCGCGTGGCAGCGCTCTTGGAAGACTCGAGCCGGTCGTGAACAGTATCAAGCACCGAGGCCAAAAGGGAGACGCGTGCAATCAACGTGGTTACCACGACCGCCCGCTATGAGATATGGGTCAGAAGCACGCGGTCATTCGCAGAACACGTGGAGCAAAAACTGTAAAGAAGCATTGAGAGAGGAGAGGCGGACGCTTGGAATCACAACGAGACAGAAAGAGGAGATTAGAGGACGTCCGTCATGTTCAGTGCGCAAATAAATAAATAAATGACGCGTCCAGAAGTGTGGGTTGGGCCTGCAGGACGCGCCATGGCTCGAAAGGGCGATGGTCGAGAATAATAACGGGGCGGCACCCAAGGAATGAAACGCGGCATTCGAGAGGTCATCCACGAGGAAATGGGGCGATCACACCAGATGCGTCTATTACACACACACACTACAAGATCAATACCCATGTATTTTACTTGGTTGTCTCTGCTCGGATTTGTAATCGCGTCGTTGCTGCACTTTTACGTTATTTATTTGGTCGTGTTGGTGACCCCCAGGTCACTCTTGCAAATGAGACTCTCCCCTTGTCTCTCGAGCTCCCACCTGGTTACGCAAATGAAACTTGAAACACGAGATCCCGCGTGGCTCTGAGCAGCGTTACCCACGGGGCCAAGCAGCAGCAGCAGCGACCGAATGAAAACATCTTAGCCAGGCGGTGGTGCCTCCACATGCGGCCTGTCGGCCAGCACTGTGGAGGAAACAGCAGCGAGGGTTGGTGGATCACCACACGAATGTCACGAAACTCCCTTCCCTGTGGGCGTTGAGGTGCCACAGCCTGGCTCTGCCAGGGGAATGCGGCACGCCAAAGTGTGGACTCCACTCGTTCCATCTGTACAGGGTAGAATGACGCCCACTCACACGAGGGGATTTTTTCCGGGTGCTCCGGTTTTCTTCCACATCTAAACATCCCTTACTTGGCTGTTGACAGCTTCATATATAGAGGACCACAGAGCTTGGCTGCTGCTCGTATCTGTGGTTCCTCACCCTCCTCATTGAGCCTCTGAGTCGTCCTCTCTTTCAGAGTGACGAGCGAACGCTGTGCGGCGGCGGTGCAGCGTTACAAGTCGACATCATTGCTATTATTCTGAAGCAAACCGCGGGACAGCGATAAAGCAACCCAGGCTCTGATCGCCATAAGACAAAGATCTCTGCATTGTGCTGATAGCGAGCACCCATGGAGGAAGGCACGGCACACCACACCCTGTGTGCCGTCTTTGTCTCCCGAGTGGCGATGTTTACACGCCGCACCAAGTTCTCGTTTGAGCCCGAGTTGACCTGGTGGGGGTTCAGGCCCAGTTCAGATATTTGTCACCGATGTTGGCAGTGAATCAACCTCGAGTCGCCGGGTTCGTAGAGCAGCGCGCTAACCACTGCGCCACCGCTCCCCACACACGCGCACATCGCGGTGTGTATGGACGTACACAAGCACACTGCTGCAGGTGTTCACACACACACCACTCGTTCCCTTCCCCAGACTCTATCGCCACGTCTACCCCGAACCAGTTCCCGTCCAATACAATCGCCGCCCATTCACTCCGCCACTCGCGGCATAGCAACTGTGCGCAGTCGCCATGGGAACCGCCTCCTCCTTCAGTGCTGGGTACCACGGAGCCCCGCCCCTACCCCCTCCCCAACGACCTGGTGGTGATGCTCCTCCGAGATTGCTCACTCCGAGGTTCGACTCGAGTGGTGGTGGGGGTGGGGGGGGGGGGCAAGGTCCAGGGACGAGGCAATGCGGGGGCACGGCGGTCGAGGCGCTGGCTTCTCTTATTGTGAGAATCCACGATCAGGTCGTGGAGTGGCCTCGCTTTATTTCATGAAAACTCAGCAGTTGTAAAAACCTGTCCCATTGCCAACGTTCCAGTCATTTGAACACCTCGCATTAGCTTGGAGGCCAACTTGTACCCAGCCGGCATTGCTAATATTGTTCAATCACCCTCCAAGGTGAATTTCCACATTCCTTGCAGAGTTCTCTGAGTTCGTCTCGGTGGTGTGTGCTCGTTCTGAACATAATTGGTGATTTCAATATTCATGTTGATACACCATCCAAACCTCATGTCTAGCATTTTTTGGCCACCCTTGATTATTTTGGTTTCATCCAGCATGTCAAACAGGTAACGCAATCTGGTGGACATACTTTAGATTTGGTTTGTTCTCTTGGGCTTTCACTATCAGAACTGTCATGGATCCAGGAATCTCAGACCACTCTTTGATATATCCTTGTCCCTTCCTGGTCCTTCTATTAAACATCGAATTTCAGTTCGCAAAATTAAATCGATCACCCCGGCCTCCCTCACAGATGTCCTATCGAGTTCTCCACTAGCTGAGTGCGAACTTCCCGTTGAAGAATCTGCTCAAATATATAACTCTGTTCTGTCAGAGACCCTGGATCATTTGGCTCCCCTCTGAACCCGTTTTATATCTTCCCATCGTCCTTCGCCATGGTACAATGCAAAATTGAGATCGCAAAAAACTACCGTCCGTAAAGCAGAACGTGCTTGGAGAAAGTCCGGCCTCACTATTCATCATCAAATATTTAAATAACTTTATACTTACCATAACAACAGTGTCTTGGCTAAATCCTCCGACATTGCTGGTTGCATTGCAAATAGTGATAACAATCCTCGGGCCTTATTTACCTGTGTCAGTAAACGTTTGAATAAGGAAGCAAATGTAATCTCCCACTCCTCCGCTGCTGCTTTCTGTCCGGTCCAAATTAATGCCTCTTCTGTCTGTTTTCTCTCTTCCCTAATTGCCTCCAGCTCAGTTCGAGGGCACAATTGAGAAACTCATCTCTCTATTTGCCGTCTCTCGACCTACCAACTGTCCACTGGATCCCTTCCCTTCAAAGCTGTTACGGGACCATTCCATTATTCTGAGGCAATTTTCCTTCAGCCTTCTCAACAGGTCCCTCAAAACCAGCACCGTTCCTGACAATTTTAAGATGGCTTCGGTCGCCCCACTTTTTAAAAAGCCGAGTCTTGATCCCGAGCTTCCAGAAAAATTTCGCCCAATATCCAACCTTACGTATGTCTAACATTCTGGAACGAGCTATGGTCACTCTTTTACATCGGCATCTGCTGGCCTCAAACGATCAATTTGACCACTTTCAATCGGGGTTCAGACCTGCGCAAAGCACCGAAACTTTTCTGGTAAGGGTGGGCATTGATTTACTTTTTTCAGCATATAAAGACTGTGTCAGCCTCCTAATTCTGCTAGATCTAAGTGCGGCATTTGACTCCATTGATCACAGGGTTCTCCTTGAGCGACTGGCAGATTCAATGGGGATCTCTGGCATAGCTTTGCTGTGGTTCCACTCTTACTTCAATAATCGTAGATAACTCGTTACAAGGGATGGCTTCAAATCGCCAATTAGATCCTTTCTCTGTGGTGTTCCGCAGGGATCTGAGCTTGGCCCATCACTTTTTAGCATCCACATGGCACCATTGAGTATTCTACTCCAACTTCTTGGTTTATCCTACCATTGCTATGCAGACGATACTCAAATGTATATCCGGTTAGGAACAGACTATGCAACAGCAGCTTCTGCGCTATCTGTATCACCAGCAGATGTGAATTCATGGTTACGCCAACACTTTTGCGACTAAATGCCGACAAGCCATATTCATCAGCTCCCCTCTGGATCTTTCTAAAATTGGTTCGCCTCATTTGTTGATTGATGGTCACGATGTCAGTCCCACACGGAAGGTCAGAAACATTGGTGTTCAGTTTGACCAGTTATTATACGTTGGGGTACATATATCTAAGATGGTTAAAGTATCATTTTTCCACCTAAGAAATATTACCAGAATGCATCACTTCCTGTCACCTGCTGACTTGGAGAGCCTGGTCCATGCTTTTGTGTTATCCCGACTCGACTACTGCAACGCCTCACTGGCTGGGATACCGAGCAAAGCACTGAGCAGACTCCAGCTTGTTCAGAATGCAGCTGCTAGATTGCTCACACCACGCACACCATTAACGTGAGCACATTACACCAGTCCTCTTATCCTTTCATTGGCTATCAGTCAAAATTCGAGTGAATTTTAAGATACTGCTATTAACCTGTAAGGCGTTATAAGGGCTCACCCTGCATTACTTACCGGAACTAACACATTTATATATTCCTTCAAGGTCCTTAAGATCTCCTGTTCTACAACTGCTCAGCACTCCCAGGTCGAGGTTGTGCTCTTTTTGGTGATCGGGCTTTTGTTAGCGTGGTACCCAAGCTATGGAATGCTTTGCCACTTGAAATCAGGAAATTAAAGTCGCTAGATATATTTAAGTCTGTTTTAAAACCCCATCTCTTTAAAGGGGTCTTCCCTCTTTAGTTTGGTCGTTGCCCTGGTTCTTTTTCTTTCCTGCTTTCCATGCAGTGCACATTGGGATCCTAGGATGTAATGCGCATTGTGAATTTTAATTAGTATTAATGCCTCGTGTGTCCGTGGAAGAATGCAGCCCGTGGAGTCACCAAAACACCAGAGATTATATTGCACACCGTCTCGCTCCGCTACCCGGGAGACGCGTAGTGCTTTGCCTCGACACCGCTCGCACCTCTGTCCTCTTCATTTCCGGCTCGCCAGAAATTGTTTCTGTAACCATTATGGAAATTACGCCACCTCTAGACCCTGCAGCCGAGGCGAATCGGTCAGCGACAAATTGCCAGCGTTCCCCACGGCCGTGTCGGGCCCAGGCACGGCTCGGAGAGGGGTCCGCTTGCCTCGCCGGGCCTGCTGTTCACACAGACGCACGGCTTGAATGTTTTTAGCGAGTAGTATTAGCTTGGAATGGACAAAAACCCCAACATTTTCCATGTAATTTCACTAGTGTATGACTGTAATTATAAATATATGGAAGCGTGGACATCACACGGTCTTACAAAATACCCACTGAAGTCGTGTACACATTACGAGTGCGTTCCATAAAAAGCTTACGTATGTATGTATGATTACACAATCACAGGGCTCATGCACATTTCGAATTGTAGACGAGAGTTATTAATATTAACATTACAACGTCAAAAAACGATTGGGTTGTAGTGGTGGGGAATGCAGCTGTGCTTACCACCGACACAGGGGCCCACACGGCCCAGGCCCCCACTGCGTGGACGCGGGTGAATTGGGCAGGCTTGGGGCGTCACGTGTCGTGTTGATCGACAAAAATACCTGCAACACCTGGGGGGCCGAATATTGAGTATGGCGCGTGTGGCGGCCCCCAGCCACCGCACGTGCACAAGCAGCCCTTGTATCGGCGCTGCCGAGGGGGGCGCCTGCCTACGGCAAGCGGGGACGGGCGAAGGAGGAGAACTGACACTGTGAGAGCGAGCCCAACGATGGGGGCGAGAGTTGCTCCGACTCCTCCATGCAGGAGACTTTGGCTGGAGAGGGGAGCGCTACTGGTCACGTTGGGTTTGGAGGGCCCACTGCCCGGGCTGCGGCCTACACCTTGGTTTGCTCCAGCCTCCTCGTGAAGTTCACTCGGCACGGCCTCCTCTTGATTTGAAGTTTAAGATGCACGACACGGTGGTTGTGGGGGCAGATGGCCCAGTTATGGCCGAGACTCGAGGATTTCCATGTGGTACCGGAACAGAAAGTGTCGGGATTGGATCCCCAGACCGGTAAATCAATGGATAGCTTCAAATCATAGAAAAACCTCTGGAACTAAATACCGACATATCTCATTGAAAACTAATACACTGACGGAAAAGCCGTCGGAAACTCAGACTACTGAAAACGCCAAAGGAAAATCCAGCGAATTATGGAAAAGGCAAGAAATGTGAGGAAAATCTTAAAATAGACGGAAACCCCACAGAGTATAAATCCACTGGCACACTCGGCCGCTAACATCGACGTGTGGCCGCTGCGTTATTGCTAATGTTATTGCAGCGTCCCCATCAAGTGCCACGATTCATTACGTTTAGGGAGAGCGGCCTCCGCTAGAAGCTCCTTCTCACCATTGTCCAAAAAGGACAAGCGGTTGAATCGGACGCACGCGAGCGATGGATATAAAACGATGACGATCTCGGAGAAATTCACGGTAACATCAACTTTTCTTCTTTGCCACCAAAGACGACGCGTGTGATTAAAATCCAGTGCTGGCTGTGATTGTGGCCTGGGCTAGTTGGGCACGTGCCGCCCCTGCAGGGCCCAGAGATGCATCCTGCACAACGCAGCGCGCGTCCACGACCGACGGTGCGGCCCGCGGACCGGCCTCGTGGGTTCGGCCCGGGGTTGCCACGGTGGCCCCCAGGTGTTTCGTTCCGCCGATCGTTCCCTCGACAAAGATGAACAAGGTCGCGAAGAACGCGCGACACACGTCGCCGCACACACCCCGCTCATCCGAACCACGACCCGAACATGTAAACTGTGTACGAATCACGACACACAACCCGGGGACACACGCCGCGCTCCATGGCAATCCACAACCTCTGCTCCGCGCGGGGCTCTGCGGGGAGCGACCAGGGCAGCCAGGGTCACTGTGAGGCCGCACACCCTCGTCCGCAGGGACATGGGGCCGGGGCAGTGGGGCCACCAGCAGCACCGTTGCACGCGCCGCTCGCACGCGAACCCGCACAGCACACGCCACGGTGGGAGACTGCAGGGGCCCATCGGCAGGAACGTGGGGCAACTTGCATTCGCCTTGCAGACGAGACGAGGTCAGCGCCGTTCACACCGTCACCTCGGTCTTGCTGAGCGTCGTCTGCGAGGGTCTGAGCGCGCTCTGCTGGCGCTGGTGATGGCGGCCGCTCCCGCTGCCGCTCGTCGGGATCCTGTCGAGGGTGCTGTGGTAGCGCAGGGGCCCAGGCCAAGTGTCCTGCTGGGACAGCTGCCCCCGCACCCCGGGGCCCCCAGGACCCTGCTGCTGCTGCTGTTGCCCCCGCGTGTGGTGGTGCTGGAGGGTGTGGTGGTGCTGCTGCTGCTGATGGTACTGTGGCTGGTGATGCTCGTGCTGGCTCTGGTGTTGGCTCTGCTGGTGCTGCGGCGGCTCGTGTTCGTGTGGGTGGTGGTGCTGCTGCTGCTGGTGCAGCGCCTGGGAGCCCGAGCGCGACACGGAGTCCCCCTCGCCGCGGGGGAGGGAGCGCTCCCTGGCGGGGCTCGCCCACGCGCCGGGGTGCGAGTGCATCTTGGTCATGCGGCTCTTGGCCCCTGCCAGCTCGTCCTCGTCCCCGCGGCCGCCCCCCTTGCCGCTCGCCTCGCTCGCCTGGCGCGACGTGCTCGCTTTGACGGGGCTGGCAGAGCGCAGGGGCAGGGAGGTTGGCGGCCCCGCGTCAGAGGAGAAGTGAATCTTCCCCAAGTGATCCAGGAGCCCGGACTTCTCTGCAATAGCACGGACACGGGGGGCAGGGTGGGGGACGGCACACCCGCTTATGAGAGACACCCAGATGGACCCCAGTCAGCATTGGTGGATTCATCATCCATCCCCACGTTGAAACCGACGAAAATTGCTGTGAATTGGATTTATATTCAAGAATCCATTTCCGAAATTTCACATTTGAGCATCTCTACCACTCTGTCACGTCCAAATCAAATCTCGACACGAGGTAATTCCTCCCCTCCACAAATCATTTTGGGTGATGTCTACATCCGTGTATTTCATCCAGCGAGTTCCATCTCAAATTCTGTCCAGAATTCGATGGATCTCCCCACCAATCTTATCTCCCGCTCACTCCCATAGCCACTCTCCAACATCACTTCGAACACCAAGTCCATCGTTCTCGCCACCATCGTACCCATCACTTTGTGACTCCCTCCCTAGGCCACCTCCTAGATCCAAAATCTCCTTCAGCCCCACCAGAGACATGTCTCCACCGCTCTGCTGACCCCTCCATTCTGTCACCTGATTCCAGCTTCAAAGAGACCCACCAATCCTCCCGTCGAGCAAACATCCCGACACCCGCGCTCCCCAACCGTCTTGTCTCCACCGCCGTGCTGCCATCCACTCAAACCCAGCTCCGTGTTGCTTCCCTGCGCGTTGGGGACGGAGCGCCCGGCCAGCAAAGTGAGACATGGTCACGTGGACCCAAATCTTTGGGAAGGGCATCCTCACCAATTCGTTTCGGAAGGGAGGGATGTCGGCCTCCCTCTGCCTGATTGGCTGCCTCGTAGGTGGGCGGAGCTTCCGAGGCCAGGTGCGGCTGTGAATGAAAGATGGTCTTGAGCTGGGGCTGATCTAGGAATGAAGAGAGGACGGAGAAAACACAGCGAATCAGTCACGGGGAACACGGTGAATCGGTCACAAGGAACACGAACAGGCAGTCACGGGGAACAGGGTGAATGAGTCACGAGGAATATAGCGTATCAATCATTGGAATCAACCACGAGGTACATTGCTAATCAGTCATGGAGAATTAGTCACGTGCATGGTGAATGTGTGCATGGTGAGTGTCCGTGGCGTGGTGAGCATGGTGCGTGGTGTACGTGGTGAGTATGGTGAGTGAGCGTGGTGAGTGTACCCAGGCTGGGCCTCGCTCCGTGCATGAACCCGGCCTCCATGGAGGAGGCCCGGGGGGGCAGCATGGAGGGGAACCCCGGGGTGGAGCCGCTGTCCGTGGGCAGCGCCAGTCCACTCTCTTGGCGTGCAGACACGTCCAGCAGCCTGGGCGAGGGGGCAGGGGAAAGAATGGGGAGCAGGCGAGATAGGAAAGGAAGAGAGGGAGGGGGCAGGAGAGAGAGGGGGGGGGGGGCTGACTCCTCTCCTCCAGCTGGATCGGGGAGTGCAATGGGGACGATCGCTCACCCCCCCCCCCCGTCACTCACCATTCATCTCGTCACATCACCCTCGCTCACCCCATCGCATTCACGTGCCTCACCCTCACCCCTCACCCTGCAGCCCCGGTGCCTCACACGGGGACGGGTTGAGACATTGGGACCATTCCCCAGGTAGCATCACAACATAGGCGCGCGCTGATTGCTGTCCGCATGCACTGCAGTGCACGCACACAGACACGCTGAGCCAAAGAAGCTGCCTGGCCTGTCTGCACATGTATGCCCTCCCTTCTCTATGGATGCGAATCGTGGTGCCCTTCAAAGGAACATACTTCAGGCTGGCCTGCCTACGATCCATCCGGAGTTTAACCAGCCTGGATTATATGAGGAGCAGCGCAAGTCTCGAAAGCTCTGGACACATTCCCGGCTGTGAGTTTCTCAGGCAGGCGATGCTGCGTTGGCTGGGTAATGGAGCACGCCAGCCCAGCCAACACATGCCCAAGCAGCTGCTGTTTGGCCAGATCAGAGCTCGGCAACCTGCAGGACTGCCTCGTGACGTTATTCATATTCACTGGGGCTCTTGAAATATTGAGTTCTTACCGAATTGGATTTTTTTTATGCAACGGTTTTACTTAACTTGATTCCTCTGTTTGTCGTGGTCAAATCTTGTAATCAACATTTAGTCCACTTCCCGTTGTCCAATCGATTCCACATTTGCCCACGTGCTCAGATCCGGTGACAATGTATGCCTGTATCAAAATCGGCATCAATTAATCAATTAATTCGCTGCTTTAAAGCAATTCACATTTTGTATGGAGACCTTATTATTTATAAATATTAAAAAAACGCCAGCGGTCCCTAAACTGTGGAATCGGCTCGCACAAGAAGCAGGCGCCGCGTGCCTCAGGCGCCATTGACGTTCTTCTCGGCCGTGAGTTAAACGAAGTTGTTAATAAAACCGTTTGTTTAAAAAAAACTTTTTTAACGAGTTTATTTTCTTGTTATTTTGGTTGCCGACCCCTGGGCCAGATAGGGGCTAAAGGGGCGCGGCGCGGGCTAGAGAGGAGATCGAATGATGTGCTAAGGAAGGACCTGGAGCTGATTGGACTTGCAGATGACTGGTTCCAGCGACTTTAAGATCGACCTCTGTGGAGGAGGATCGTGAAGGACATTACTGGGCAGTTGGAGGCAGTCGCTCTCCGACAACAATGGAGGACAGAGTAACGACGCTCACAACAACTAACGTAGCGTTGGGCGGCTAAAACACATAAAGTTCACACAGTAGGGAGCACAAGTGGTACATCTGCCAGTCATTTCAGTCAACCCATGGCACCTGGGTCTGCCCCGTGACCTCCTTCCAGCGAGCCTTCCACCTCTCACGTGGCCTCAACGTCCACCTAGCCTGGCACAAGCATCGCGGGGACGTCATCGCCACTTATTGGCGAATGGCAGCTGTTGTACGTGTGTGTACACGTGTGAGTGTGTGTGCACGTGTGAGTGTGTGTACACGTGGGGGGAGCAGTGGTGTAGTCGTTAGCGCGTTGTGCTACGAACCCGGCAACCCAGGTTCTATTCCCGCTCACTGTCTACACAAATGATGATAACACTGTGCAACAATTGTATTTGTTCCTTGGTAGTAAGTGTTATTTCCTAATTGCGTATGCCTCAAACGTACAGAAAATGGCTATTATTCCCCACAAACTTTGCCTTTGTGACCAGGACAGTGATATTTAGAAATGTAACTTTTCCAGAGCATTCTAGATAGATTCAGTGCCGAGTAAACTTGGAGTAACTTCTAAAACATTCTAGAACTTTCCAGTAATATTAATAGCAGCATAATTACAGGGGCCTTAAGCCCACCAGTTCAGTTTAGTTCCAGCTGCCTAAGTGGATAAATATCTGCATTTGTATGCGATGGCATTAAGAGGCTGCAAACATCCGGCAGATGCATTTTGCTATGTCTGCGGCCAATTTATCAAGACAAAGCGAAAAAGTACTCTGTGGAAGCATCTGCAAAGATGTGTGATGTCTACAAGGCATATATCGGCATGCCTGTCGGGGATCAAGACAAACCCTGGACACCTCATTTCACCTGCGAGCAATGCAAATATCTGTGGCATTGTCCTTAAAACGGATTGGTCCACACCAGAGACGGCTTTCTTTTGAGCCCCGTCTGGACTTCGAACGCCGCTACCAAGGACAGCATAACGAGAACATGATGGGAGACGACATTTGGGGGCTGATTCGTGAAAGTGATTTACAATATAATCGTAAATCTCGAAAAACTACTAACTTCTAAATGTTTTGTCGTAATTTTTCTATTAATTTAGTATAAATACATATTAATTTTTATTCATGTTGTTTTCTGCCTTTATGTGAACGAAAATACACTAATTCGCCCGTTTTCTCATTAAATAATAAGTAATATTTAAAAATACTTTTTTTTAAATGAAATGTACCGTACGAGTGTAGTGGTGATAACTACTCGCTGTTCGCAAGCTGTGAGAGAGCGGATCGTAAACAAGGTTTTCCCGCTCAATAAAACGGTCAGGGTCAAATGGGGTGAGGTAGGATTGGGAAGGACCAATCGGAGGGTTCCACAAGGTGGCCGGGGATTGGACAACCCGGCCACGAACAGGTATAACAGCCGGAGCGCTGAGAGCTCTTGGCCAGTTCTGCTACACGAAGACACAAGTCGGCCGAAGACATCTAGGACCCTGGACCAAACCTTCCAGCCCTCGTCACGGCTGGGGCTCAGAGTAACCAGTGGTCAGGGGAGATAGGGCCTGGATAGGGCCCTGGCTCCCAGCCTTCCCACCCTTGTGACGGCGAAGGTCCTGAGCGACCAGAGGTCGGGGACCCGCCGGGCCAGCGGCGGGTCAGTGTGCCTCCCCTAGGTCCCAGCCGGAGGACGCTGGGCTAGCGGGGAGATTAGATAGACAGCAAGTCCGGAGGCTGTACCTTCGTAGAATATGAGCGAAGTGTGAGTGAGCTGTGCAGGGTCAGGAGGCTACCTCCTCATGTTAACGGGTAAGGGGACCGTATAACCCTTGTGTGTTAGCGACTGTAATTAAGACAATAAACAGTGTGTGCCATAAAGAAGTTTATTAGTCTGTCCTTTACAACACTACACTAGTAATGGCAAAACTCCACGACTCCAGAAAGTGGCCCCGAAGCTTGCCATAACGTAAGGGACCGTGGTGATTTACAGCCAACGTGAGTTGAGCGTGGACAATTAGACCCAAGCAGAATTATAACATATAAAAAATATGGTTTAAAATGATTATTTTTAATGATAGAATATAGTATTGTCATGAGTATGATATGTAAACTCTGACTTTAACACAGCCACTTCCGTGACCAGTTACATGCTAATTCCTCACATTAACATCATGCTAATCTCCCAGTTACATGCTAATTTATGACTTTCACATCCTGCTAATTATCTCACATTAACACAGCGTATTTCGATTTAAAGCTTTCGTGACTGCAGGGATTCATCTTCTTGGTTCTTTCGGTAAAGTCACGTAGAAGGGAAGTAATAAAATAATAAAAATATTTTATTACTTCCCTTCTACGTGACTTTACCGAGAAGATAACACAGCGTATTCAATGCTAAATTCTTCTGTTGATATGTAAACTCCTTTGTCAAGGCGCTCTTCTCCCACCCAGCTTAAAATACGCTGCCAAGCTTAGCAGTGTTCATTGGAGCTCTGTCTTCACCTGAGGACGGCTGCTTGCGTTGTGGCCGAAACGTCGTGAGAATTTTATTTTATTGTTTTATTTTTTAATTTTTTTATTTCTCTTCTACGTGACTTTACCGAAAGAACCAAGAAGATGAATCCCTGCAGTCACGAAAGCTTTAAATTGAAATTCATACCAAGTTTGCAGTCGATAGCACATTGGGAAGTGGGTTAAAATTTAGTTACAAGATTTGATGATTTGACAACAACAGAGTGAGTGAATAGAAAGTGTGTTAAACGATTGTTTAAAAATATATTTTTATGATAGAATATAGTATTGTCCTCAGTAAGACATACTGTAAGTATACGAAGTTTGCAGTCGATACCACATTGGGAAGTGGGTTAAAATTGAGTTACAAGATTTGAGGATACGATAACAACAACAGACAGAGTTAAATAAAAGCGTGTAAATTTCGATTTAAAGCTTTCGTGACTGCAGGGATTCATCTTCTTGGTTCTTTCGGTAAAGTCACGTAGAAGGGAAGTAATAAAATAATTAAAATAAAACATAATAAAAATAAACGTCGTGAGAATTATTTTATTTTATTATGTTTTATTTTTATTATTTTATTACTTCCCTTCTACGTAACTTTACCGAAAGAACCAAGAAAAAAGCGTGTAAATTAGTTACATTTCAAAATATCACTGTCCTGGTCACAAAAGCAAAGTTTGTGGGGAATAATAGTCATTTTCTATATTGTTTAGGCATAAGCAATTACGAAATAACACTTACTACCCAGCAACACAAATTTTACATCGTGTTGTTATCTGAACTGGTCCTGGGTGTCCCTCAGGTCGACTCAACCTCAAATGAGGACCTGCTCCGGTGTGTAAACATCGTTAATGGGGAGACAAAGGCGGTCGGGCGTGGTGCTGGCCACCCACCCCCTCGTGTTCCGTGCCAGACTTCATAGGCGCTGGCTAAAAGCACAAGGGAGATTGTTGTCTTTGTGTGTAGACGTGTGTGTGTGTACACGTGTGTGTGTACACGTATGTGTGTGTGTACACGTGTGAAGGGAGTGTGAGTGTAACATGCTACTCCTGGCATCGGAGTCTCGAAGATGAACACGGAGACTTCATTCATCATCATCCTCAACCACAGAATAACGACAACCACAATAACCACAACACCTGCAATCTCCACAAGGACAACCGCAACCTCCATACTCACAACAACATACACAATAATAAGCGCAACTACCATACCAAGGCAACAACAACAATAACCACAAACACGAGGCCACTCGGGGTCAGTTCAAAATTGAGCCACCTCGGGTCCTCAAAAGCCATCAATGACCCCAACCCCCACTCACTGACCTTTGGTTCTTTCGGTAAAGTGACGTAGAAAATAAAATAACATCATAGAATACGACGTTTCGATTGCAACACAAGCAACTATCATCAGGTAAGAATTAATTAGAAAAAACAAACATAGTAAACTTAGAAGCACAATGCAACACAACACAGAGAGCCATCCAACACAACAGCCAGCACCCCACCACCTGTGTTGCAATCGAAACGTCGTATTCTATGGTATTATTTTATTTTCTACGTCACTTTACCGAAAGAACCAAGAGTAATTCCTGCAGTGACGAAAGCTTCGAATCTGGTTTGAACCCCAAACCCCACACAAAGAAACCCCGAGCCCTCCACACAGACACCCAAGCGCCCCCACGGGCCCCCTCCCGTGTGGTCCCGTCTCCTACCTGCAGTGTCCGCCCGGCTCCCCAGGGGGCTGCGCGGGCAGCAGCCCCCCCGCGGGCTTGTAGAGGCCGACGTCGGTGAAGATGCCCGCCAGCAGCATGAAGGCGACGATGCCGCACACCGAGTACACCACCATGTGCGTCTTGTCGCGCGTCGGGCCGAAGGGCCCCACGACGTCTGGGGGCCCCGTGGAGTCGTTGGCGAGGCGCGGGGTCTCGTTCTTGACGCACTGCGTCTGGTTGAGGCGCGCGCTCGGCTCCTTGCAGCAGTAGCGGAACCCGCACGAGCCGCAGCAGATGAAGTAGGGAGGCATGTGGCACACGAACGGGGGGTCGAACTGGCCCATCACGTCGTAGTAGCCGCGGCACTGCTCCGGCGTCTGCTTACGCGGCGGCGACGGCTCCGCCGTGGCACCGGGGGGCCGCGGGGCCGAAGCGGCGCCTCCGTTGGGGGCCCACGCGCTGGGCCCCCTCGCCGCCGCGACCCCCAAAAGCAGCGGGACGAGGCGGGCGAGGAGCCAGCGCGACCCTCGCATGGCGCCACGAACTCCTCTCCCCCCACCCTCGATCACCCCCACCCCCCCTCGAGTGGGGGGGGCGGGGTGGGGAGAGACCCTGGTCCTGAAAACACTGACCCTCAGTGACCCCCTCCCTTGTCTCGGTTGTCGTCACGGTCCCCTCCTCGTCCTCCTCCTCGTCGACTTCCTCCGAACGAACGAACACGCGAAATCCCAGTTCCTCCGCCCGAACCCTGCTCGGGTCCCCGTCGCAGGGTCCCAAGTTGCTGAGGTCCTGGGGGTCCTGGGGTTCCCCCCCCCCCCCACCCCGGATCGTCCCGCTGTGATGAGCGCGACGCCGCGCTCCTTACCTCGCGGCCCTGAGCGGCGCGGGCAGCCGAGATGCGGGTACCCCCCCTCCTCGAGCGCGTGAACCCGCGGAGCGCAGCAGCAGCAGCGCGGAGGCAGCGCGCGCAGAGCGAGCGGCTCCCCGTGGCCACTCGAGGCGCGGGGAGACGGGACGAGTCTCGTGGAGATGGAGCCGAGTTTGGAGCGCGACGCGGAGCTGCAAAGCGCAGGGATGAACTGGTGAGATGTCGAGAAAATAAACTACGGTTCTGTGAAGGAGTGACCTCGTGAGATACGGAGAAGATAAATTATGATGATGTGAAGAAAGGTGTGTCATGGCAAAATCCGGTTATCCTGGGCGTGTGCTCGTCCATAGAAGGATTTATGGAACAAGAATCGAGGGAACAGCGATTCCGTCCACAGAAGCAATTGGGATCCCGTGCTATTTGCCATGCTCGCTCGACCCCTTGCTCAAACCCACGCGTAGAGACGGCACGATCCACGTGGAGATGGAGCCGCGCCGCTCCCCGTGGAGATGGAGCCGAGGCGCTCCCCGTGGAGATGGAGCCGAGGCGCTCCCTGTGGAGATGGAGCCGAGGCGCTCCCCGTGGAGATGGAGCCGAGTTTGCGGCGCGCGCGAGATGAATGGACGCGCGGCTGCTGCGTGCGGCGCTCTCCGCGAGTGGAGCGGAGGTGGGGGCGGCGCCTGCCGAGCGTGGTCCGCGATGCTGAATTGGGGGGGGGGGGGGTGAACGAGGGGCACCCTAACACGCACACATAGCCTGCTGCACGGGCACCGTAACGCGCACACACAGCCTGCTGCACGGGCACCGTAACGCGCACACACAGCCTGCTGCACGGGCACCGTAACGCGCACACACAGCCTGCTGCACGGGCACCGTTACGCGCACACACAGCCTGCTGCACGGGCACCGTAACGCGCACACACAGCCTGCTGCACGGGCACCGTTACGCGCACACACAGCCTGCTGCACAGGCACCGTAACGCGCACACACAGCCTGCTGCACGGGCACCGTAACGCGCACACACAGCCTGCTGCACGGGCACCGTAACGCGCACACACAGCCTGCTGCACGGGCACCGTAACGCGCACACACAGCCTGCTGCACGGGCACCGTTACGCGCACACACACAGGCTGCTGCACGGGCACCGTTACGCGCACACACAGCCTGCTGCACGGGCACCGTTACGCGCACACACAGCCTGCTGCACGGGCACCGTTACGCGCACACACAGCCTGCTGCACGGGCACCGTAACGCGCACACACAGCCTGCTGCACGGGCACCGTAACGCGCACACACAGCCTGCTGCACGGGCACCGTAACGCGCACACACAGCCTGCTGCACGGGCACCGTTACGCGCACACACAGCCTGCTGCACGGGCACCGTAACGCGCACACACAGCCTGCTGCACGGGCACCGTAACGCGCACACACAGCCTGCTGCACGGGCACCGTAACGCGCACACACAGCCTGCTGCACGGGCACCGTTACGCGCACACACAGCCTGCTGCACGGGCACCGTAACGCGCACACACACAGCCTGCTGCACGGGCACCGTAACGCGCACACACAGCCTGCTGCACGGGCACCGTTACGCGCACACACAGCTTGCTGCACGGGCACCGTAACGCGCACACACAGCCTGCTGCACGGCCACCGTTACGCGCACACACAGCCTGCTGCACGGGCACCGTAACGCGCACACACACAGCCTGCTGCACGGGCACCGTAACGCGCACACACAGCCTGCTGCACGGGCACCGTAACGCGTACACACAGCCTGCTGCACGGGCACCGTTACGCGCACACACAGCCTGCTGCACGGGCACCGTTACGCGCACACACAGCCTGCTGCACGGGCACCGTAACGCGCACACACACAGCCTGCTGCACGGGCACCGTAACGCACACACACAGCCTGCTGCACGGGCACCGTTACGCGCACACACAGCCTGCTGCACGGGCACCGTAACGCGCACACACAGCCTGCTGCACGGGCACCGTTACGCGCACACACAGCCTGCTGCACGGGCACCGTAACGCGCACACACAGCCTGCTGCACGGGCACCGTAACGCGCACACACAGCCTGCTGCACGGGCACCGTAACGCGCACACACAGCCTGCTGCACGGGCACCGTTACGCGCACACACAGCCTGCTGCACGGGCACCGTAACGCGCACACACAGCCTGCTGCACGGGCACCGTAACGCGCACACACAGCCTGCTGCACGGGCACCGTTACGCGCACACACAGCCTGCTGCACGGGCACCGTAACGCGCGCGCCCGGAGGGACACTGCTGCACGACAGCCGAGCTTCCGAGCTTGTGTGTGGCTCGGACAGCTGTTGAAGGGGAGCGGCAGTGTCGGATCACAGGCGGGGGGAGAAATCGCCCCCCTGCCCCCCTTCATCTTGAGACTCTAAATATCTGCACTTTATTCATGTTTGTATACATGTGTGCTGAACTAGTTTCGCATCGTACGTCGCCAACAGTGCTCATCGGAGGTGCGTGGGAAGGACAACAAACTAAACACCAAAAGGTGAATGTGTACATGCTCTTCTTACAAATGTAGGGGCCCTGTCTTTTTTTAAGGTTTTACTTTTCTGGACCGCCTCTTGCCGCACCGCAATGGAAGCTGTGGGATCGAGAGGCGGCCCGGGGCGCGTGGCAGCGCTCTTGGAAGACTCGAGCCGGTCGTGAACAGTATCAAGCACCGAGGCCAAAAGGGAGACGCGTGCAATCAACGTGGTTACCACGACCGCCCGCTATGAGATATGGGTCAGAAGCACGCGGTCATTCGCAGAACACGTGGAGCAAAAACTGTAAAGAAGCATTGAGAGAGGAGAGGCGGACGCTTGGAATCACAACGAGACAGAAGGAGGAGATTAGAGGACGTCCGTCATGTTCAGTGCGCAAATAAATAAATAAATGACGCGTCCAGAAGTGTGGGTTGGGCCTGCAGGACGCGCCATGGCTCGAAAGGGCGATGGTCGAGAATAATAACGGGGCGGCACCCAAGGAATGAAACGCGGCATTCGAGAGGTCATCCACGAGGAAATGGGGCGATCACACCAGATGCGTCTATTACACACACACACTACAAGATCAATACCCATGTATTTTACTTGGTTGTCTCTGCTCGGATTTGTAATCGCGTCGTTGCTGCACTTTTACGTTATTTATTTGGTCGTGTTGGTGACCCCCAGGTCACTCTTGCAAATGAGACTCTCCCCTTGTCTCTCGAGCTCCCACCTGGTTACGCAAATGAAACTTGAAACACGAGATCCCGCGTGGCTCTGAGCAGCGTTACCCACGGGGCCAAGCAGCAGCAGCAGCGACCGAATGAAAACATCTTAGCCAGGCGGTGGTGCCTCCACATGCGGCCTGTCGGCCAGCACTGTGGAGGAAACAGCAGCGAGGGTTGGTGGATCACCACACGAATGTCACGAAACTCCCTTCCCTGTGGGCGTTGAGGTGCCACAGCCTGGCTCTGCCAGGAGAATGCGGCACGGCAAAGTGTGGACTCCACTCGTTCCATCTGTACAGGGTAGAATGACGCCCACTCACACGAGGGGATTTTTTCCGGGTGCTCCGGTTTTCTTCCACATCTAAACATCCCTTACTTGGCTGTTGACAGCTTCATATATAGAGGACCACAGAGCTTGGCTGCTGCTCGTATCTGTGGTTCCTCATCCTCCTCATTGAGCCTCTGAGTCGTCCTCTCTTTCAGAGTGACGAGCGAACGCTGTGCGGCGGCGGTGCAGCGTTACAAGTCGACATCATTGCTATTATTCTGAAGCAAACCGCGGGACAGCGATAAAGCAACCCAGGCTCTGATCGCCATAAGACAAAGATCTCTGCATTGTGCTGATAGCGAGCACCCATGGAGGAAGGCACGGCACACCACGCCCTGTGTGCCGTCTTTGTCTCCCGAGTGGCGATGTTTACACGCCGCACCAAGTTCTCGTTTGAGCCCGAGTTGACCTGGTGGGGGTTCAGGCCCAGTTCAGATATTTGTCACCGATGTTGGCAGTGAATCAACCTTGAGTCGCCGGGTTCGTAGAGCAGCGCGCTAACCACTGCGCCACCGCTCCCCACACACGCGCACATCGCGGTGTGTATGGACGTACACAAGCACACTGCTGCAGGTGTTCACACACACACCACTCGTTCCCTTCCCCAGGCTCTATCGCCACGTCTACCCCGAACCAGTTCCCGTCCAATACAATCGCCGCCCATAATCACTCCGCCACTCGCGGCATAGCAACTGTGCGCAGTCGCCATGGGAACCGCCTCCTCCTTCAGTGCTGGGTACCACGGAGCCCCGCCCCTACCCCCTCCCCAACAACCTGGTGGTGATGCTCCTCCGAGATTGCTCACTCCGAGGTTCGACTCGAGTGGTGGTGGGGGGGGGGGGGCAAGGTCCAGGGACGAGGCATGCGGCGGGGGGGGGGGGGCACGGCGGTCGAGGCGCTGATTAATGCCGCGTGTGTCCGTGGAACAGTGCAGCCCGTGGAGTCGTGCGTGAGCACAGGCCAAGGTCGCCCCCTCCCTTTCCTCCACCAGCCACCCAGAGAAATCCTCCTCACCGACTCGCAGCACCCACACACGCACGACGCACCTTGTCACACAACACCTGGACGGAACACAGCCACACCTGCACCTGAATACCCACAACACATCGGCTACCAGACGCGCACACTCACATTCACACACATACAAAGATCCCCAGTATAGCCTTACCAAACTGTTGGGGCAAGTGCTGTTCGTGAGCACATATGAAGGCCGGTACAGCACACGACGGAATGGGTGGCCAGCACCACGCCTTTGTCTTTCTCGTGGCGATGTTTTACACACCACACAAATACTCCTTTGAGTCGACCTAAAGGAAGCCCCAGGACCGGTTCACATAATTTTCACTATTGGCCGTGAGCAAAAATCGAACTCGCTTCGTCGGGTTCGTAGCGCAGCGTACTAGCCACAACACTACCACTCCCCACGCACACTAGCACACGCACACATGAGGAAACATACGTACACAAATACGTGCACGCACACACACACACATCTTTTTTTTCCCCAAGCTCACATGACCTTGCTCAATTCAAGAAATGCGTTACACTCTTTAGTAGTGTTGTTTATGGCTGGCCGTTTCACGTTTTGGGCTTTGGTCCCATGCTCAGGAGCTGTGTTTAAATAACTGCTGTCAGGGGCGGAATGATCCACTCGCTAAACCCATCCTATTACGCGTTTTTTGTCATGGAATTGAAAAAACGGAGCCAAAAAGAGCCGAAGTAATTTTGACGCGAAATGTTCAAATGCCACTTTTGTCTCTTCTTCAATTCAGAATAATTCATCTGAATTCATGACATCGCGTGCAAAGTGGATGAAACTTCCACGGATTTCTTCTGCTCTGGTTAAAAAAAAAACGATCCCCCAGAATCCAGTGCAAGGAAGGAGGCAGTGGGCAACCTCTAGGGGACACGGCCAGAAATACAATAAAAATGAAATAACCGAGATCCCCTGGCTTCAAATCAAATCAACATCGCGTCCCCTAATAAAATGGGCAGCTCCGCAGGCAACGGATGAGCCGCTGTGTTGAGTTGCAAGGGCCTCCCCTTGGGGCTGCGCGTATTTAACTGTTAAGAGTCATTACTGTGGCCATTTAGAGACCTCCGCACGCACGCACGCGGTGAAACAGGTGCCACTCCAAACCACCAATTACACGAATGTCACGCTCGCAAAGCCCCAGCCTGGCCACTTAATGGCACGTGAACACCAGGAGCGCTGCGCGTGTTTGTCTTGGGGTCTTCTCATCGCGGGTTAGGGTTACAGGTCGGCGTTAGGGGTTCAGGGGTAAGATGGGTTAAGTGCTTGGGCTTATGGCCACCCACTGGTTAAGAAAAACGATGAGGGTTAGAGATTACGGTGTAACGCGTGGATTCGGGTTGAGGCCAGAGATGAAAGTTGTAATGATGCCTGGGTGAGGGGGGTTTGGGGTGGGAGTGATTGTTGGGGTTGCGATACAGGACATGATTCATTCAGGTCTGTCGTGGGATACACAGATAACCCTTCAGGAACAGGTAAAAACCGATTGAAAGAGGGAGGCTCTCTCAAGGGAGATCGGAGTTTGAGTCATCACAGCTACACAGAACATTCCACAGGGACGGTGGGTGCAGTGAGGATTCTGGAAACAGGGTTTGGGATCTGATTATGGTTTATGGTTTATGGTTGCAATGATTCTAGATTTGATGTTGAGGACCATTTTAGTTTGTATGTTGAACTTCTTTCGCGCCGAACGTAGCCGCCCGTGCTCATCGAAGATGCAGGGAACGGACAACAAAAATCAGGGCGTGTGGTTGAGATGATGATGCTGAAATCAGGACGTGCGGTCCTCTGATGAAGGCCACCACTGCTGCCGCACGGGCCTTCCTCTGCAGGCCAGCAGAGAGGGAGCTGGGCCACTTCTCGTGGAGCCACTGGGGCCACACTCGCCGAGAGAAAGGTGGCGCCGCGCCTCCTGGAAACAACAACAACTCCTCACTGAGTTCGCGCATGGGGGAGTGTCGGGTACCGTCACACGTGCCCAACGAGTCCGCGTCTCCCACCCCGAAGAGACGTAGAAAATAGAATCACGCTCACTTTAGCGAGGAAGTCACTGCTACACCAGGTGCACAAGCAACGTTTTTAGAGACGTTTACCCACACAGGTGCTTTGTTTTTGTGGGGCTGATGGGAAGGCCCCATCTCTTCGTAGCACGCTCGAGGTTCGGTAGCTTGCCACTTTCACACACAACCGCCGTTCGCCTCTGGCAGTGACGTCACCATGGAGATTGTGCCAGACTAGGTGCACTAAGAGCCGCCATTCACCACTAAGTGGTGGTGACTTGACCACGGCGCCTGTGCCAGGGCAGGTGCACATTGAGGCTGCATTAAGTCTCAAAAGGCTCGCTGACAGGTCATGGGGCAGACCCAGGTGCCATAGGTCGGCTGACTCAGATGACGAGCAGATGCACCAGCTGTGCCCCCGACTGTGCCAACTTCCTGCATTTGATCCGCCCGGCACTCTGCTCGTCGTTCCGAGCGTCGCTCCTCTGGCCTCCATTATTGTTGGAGGGTGAATGCCTCCAACTGCCCAGTAGCGTCCTTCACGAACCTCCTCCTCACACACACTCGGTCTGTAAAACAAGTGGATAACATACGAACATAAAAGTCCTCGCAGAAAGGCGCCCGAGTCGGGAACTGGACCTGTACCCAGACCCCCGTTACATCTCACTGCGAGTGTTGCCTCTGCGCCACCACCACCCTGCTGCCGCTTCACATGCGCTTGCCGCTCACGAGGGGCGAGAAATATGTGACAAACGGCACCAACTGCATCTCCTTTTAATAAACAATTTTATTGTCATTATTAATGTGAACACGTAAGACTGCGTACATATTGAATCCTCTGTACACCGCGCTAGATCATCCTCGGGCCCAATCACCACAGCCTGCGCTGTGAGCGAGCGAGCCTTCGCGCCAGCTACCACCACCACCACAAAGAGCCACGTCTGTGGCACAGCCGGCACGGACTGCCCAGCAGGAGGCCAGGCGAATGCCACCCACGTTGGCGACGCACAAAGACACTTGGTCCATGGCACAAGGTTGGCGCTCAGTGAGCCCCGTCAAGACGTGATGCACCTCGTCAAGACGTGATGCACCTCGTCATCGTCGTCACCACGTGCACGGATAAACCCAAATACTGAGCTGTAAAAAAAGTGCACTTTCCATTGTGAAACAAAATAATAAACGGAGTTGATATAATCCGCAGTGTTTGATAAAGCGAGTCGCCCGCCGCCCTCGACCAGAGTTGTGGGGCTAAATTATTTCCCGCGATCGCGAAGCAAGGCGACACCCCAGCCGCGGCGTGTCGCCTTCAATCAGTTCTGCTGCCTCGGCTGACATCGGGTGAGCAGCGTTAATTAAGCATCGTGACGGACGCTCCTCAGAGATCTGCGGAAGCTCCAGCTCCCTTGGCGACGGTGCCAACGGCCAAAACTCCCCTGGTCTACCCCAGCAATATTTGCAACATCAGCTGCTCATTTCAGGCCCAGGTGACCTAGAGGGCATCACAGATGACTAGGTCAACTTCACTCATAATCCAGAGAACGCACGGATATTTGGAAAACGAGTATTCGCTCATCCAGTTCATCTGCTTGAACAGGAGAGCAAACGCGAGCGACTGTCCGCCACGTGCCACTGGCCCGTGCGGCACTGCAAAGGTCGGGGCCTCAATTTCCTCCCATGGCCACTTTCCCAAATTCACCCTCACCTTGCTGGAGCCCACGCGGGATACTTTGCTCAAGCCTCGTATCCTGAAATCGCACACAGCACAGAGACACAACAGCCCTGTCTCGAGCACAGAGAGCAGAGAGGATGAACTCTGCGGTTCAGCAGCCATGGGAGAAAACCGGAGACTTTGGTACTAACTAAAAAGAAAGTAAACCAAGGGCAGCCGTGAGGTTTTGCTGCTGGGCAACGTGTCGAGGAATGAAACAGTCCTGAACGGGTTTGATTTGTCTGCATGCAGTTACAGAAACACGTGCCGACACACACCACGCACATCACGTACATTCCCATAGTCAACAAGCACACCGCCTGCACGTGACTCGCACGTGACTCGCACGAGCTCATGCCGAGAGGTGCACTCACTCCAGCCTTGCTGGCTCACTCAGCCCGTCTCGTGAACTGAGACATCTCACGCGCTCTGTCCATTCTCAACAATTACCGCGCGGCCAAAGGCAGCCAAGCGAGCGGCGGGGGGGGGGGGGGGGGGTCAGACGGACGCCGCACCCAGGAGCCACCGAGCACCGCAGCTCCAGCCCGCTCGGTGCTCGCGGGGTTAAGTGCTTCAACGAAGACGCTCGAAAACGTCCGAGGGCCGGGCTGCCACAGAGACTGCCGCTCGCAACTGAGACGGACAAACTTCAGACAAAACATCACCGAGAGGCCTCAAACGGATCCCTGCCCCCCAAACAAGCAATTTGATTAATTCCCACAATTCCATTCTCAATTCTTGTTTTTACAGTTTTGTTCGATCCACTATCGTAAATTATGTAAACAGCGTATAATCTTAATAAATCGTGATTATAAATTCCCGCATGCGCAAGGCAAAGGACATGTTACTGTGAGTTAAGATTCCATTGAAATCTAGATAAATCATGTATTACTTTGTCTTATAATTTAAAAAAGTCAACAACAAATCTATCGAGCCATCGAGATGCGGCCGCCGCTACTCTATCCCACAGCCATCCCAGATCCCTGCTGCGCTGTCGGTCTGTGTCGCGCCACCCTCTCCAGCTCTCCAGCCAGCCGTGCCGTGCTGCACAGCGAATGAAAAACACCGACGGCCAGCCGACAGCAAGATAACCAACCCGTGTGCGGTGGGGGATAAGACATTTCATAATTCAGCACCGATGGAAACACGAAGGCAGCGGCAGCATTAGTCTGGGAACAACCCCTCTGGGGAGCTTAAGGAAATTAGGTTTTAATTGGCCGCTAAACGTTACAATCTGCTACTGCTGCCGACGCCACCGCAGAGGTTGGGTGCAGGCGCCGGACCGCGCGACCCATGCCGAGGTGGCAGTGGCGCCCAACAGCTGAGGAGTCGGCGAACGCCCCGGTAAATATATATCGTGGAAGTTTGTGAGCGGCAGGGTGGCAGCCCAGTGTTAGCGCTCGTGCCTCGCAGGAATAAGGGCCTGGGTTCCATTCCCGACTTGAGCACCCATCTGATAGGAGTTCGTATGTTCTCCCCCTATTTTGCGTGGGTTCACTCTGGGTTCTCTGGTTTCCTCCTTCCACAGCTAAACACACACAATGTAAAGTATTCGTCAAATCATTCCAATTCTGCAAAAAAATACCTGAAAATTACTCAATTAGAAACGCACAGCAGGAACAGCGACGGTCGCCGCGCGGTCGCCGGCCCCTTTGATTTGAAACGTCGCGCTCTGGCTGAAGTCTCCATTGGCCTGGCTCGGAGGTCGTGAACCCCGGTGACCCACGCCACCAGGCCACGCTGTGTGGGACGGCGCGAGCACGAGGCACGCGGACACGACGCCGTCCCGCTACCTCACTAGCGCGTGCTTCTACAAACGCCCACGCTCGTGAGAGAGCGACTGCCCTCCCGTCGGGTCCGCCGCGGCATTGCCGGTGCGAGGGGGGCAGCTCGTCCCCGCGCCTCGTCCGCCGGTACACCACTTTGCCGACGGGACCCCCGGCACACAGCGAATCTCGGTAGGTGCCGGCGGTGCCTCGGCCTCATGGTGAACGCGGGGATGGTGCCGGTGGGGTCTGCGTGAATAGTTTCAGAGAGTTCGCAAGCGGGGCTCCTCCTCCAGCTACACTCCTCTCTGACCATGCACGGTGGCCTTGCCCTCGTCCCACACCATCCCCCCCTACCCCCGCCGTGCAGGGTGTAGGCAGGGGGTCAGAGGTCGCCGCTTTGGGGCTCTGGGTTGCGCTGGGTGTTGTGCTGCCGACTGGGCTGGGCCGGGCCCCGGAGGCGAGAGCGCCCTGTCCGTTTCTCGCTCGGCTCCGCGTCCCTGGGCACAAACAACAACATCAACGACGACATCAACGACGATGATGACGAGAGCAGTGTCCTGCACGTGCCTCTGCTCCGCGCGGCGTTGTGGCCGCTCCCCTGGCTCGCACCGCCGTGTCGCAGGGTTTGTCACATGGAGTAAAATTAAACTGCTGGGGTTAAGTGAGCAACAAGAACATTTCGAAACAATTAAGCTATTATTCTCACAGGCAGCAAGAGAGGAAATTATGCGAAATTATGCGAAATTAATGCGTTAAACGTTAAATCGAGCAGCCTCAGAGGAAAATCAGACACTCAGATTACACAGCTGAGCTTCCTGTGTCCGGGCTCCATGAGCAGTGCTCACCTCGACGCCGCTCGCAACAACATCATCGTCGTGCTGCCTTACCAAGGTGCCCGTGTGATTACGTACACCACCACCACCGCCCCCACCGCCCCTCCCCACCAACCGTGCGCCGCCGCCACCGCCCCTCCCCACCAACCGTGTGCCGCCGCCACCACCACCGGCCTGTGTCAATATCACAACCCACGTCACTATGGTACGACGGTGGCAGGCGGGACGATGCGGCGCATTACACCGAGCCCCGCCTTCGCTAACGGTCAGCTGAGCGGGACCGGGACGCCGAGTGGGGGCCCGGCGTCACGTTGAACGGGGGAAACACCGACCCTCCGCTTGCCGGGTGACGTCGTCCGCGAACCGGCCGACGCTGACCGTGGTGCGGACGGTTCTGCGGACGGGTCGACCGCGCTGGTGCGCTCTGCTGCCCGGCGGCGGAGTGAGCGTACCCTGCGTGGCGGAGGTCCACACGACGTCCGGAAGAGATCGACGCTGCGCCGTTGAACGAATGCTGCGGAAGCATTGCGGCCGTCCCGAGCGGACCGCGGTCACAAGGCATCTGCTCTGCCAGCATATACCTGCTGCCAGTAGACTCGTCCCTTATACCTGCCGCGAGTACTCAAATCACATATCCGCTGCCAGTAGACTGGCATGTCTGCTGCCAGTATTTGAACGCACGACTGCGAGCAGTATCAACAGCTGCTAAGACGATGAGGCTGCAAGTAGCTGCCACGAGAGACAAGTCGTAGCGCTGTAAGATGAGATTGTGAGCAGCGTAGACTCTTCACTCAGGGTCATGAGAACCACGGGTGATGGTGTCGGCCACAGCAGAGCGAAAGCGCCAGCGAGTTGGGGCCGTCTCGGCTGGGCCCAGGAGATGAGCTGTGTCCGCCGTGACGAGCAGACAACGCCGCCTCGCTCAGGAGGAGCCGTGCACGGCTCACGGGGATTTAAGTTGCGTTACTAGCCGTGGGGAGGGGGTTCGTGCCCCCCCAAACGTCATCGGTCACATGTTAAGTCGGTGCGATGGACACGCGACGAACAAACATCTTCGTAATTCAGTTTGCGGAGGAAAGGAACGCTTCATTTAGAGAAAGTGGCAGCCGTGTCCTTGGAATGGAGGCCACGCGAATGTCACGCGTGCACCGGCAGGATCAGCGTCGGTCCTCTCCGATAACGTCAATTAGCGGAGAATACATTAACATTTCACCGGGGGTTGTATTGGATTCGGTATTGATGCGAGGGTTCTATTGTGCGTTGGCCTCGCAGTTCAGCTCCATGTGACCACGTTTCTTCCTCCTCCTCATCTTCCACACCTCCCCCTCTCCCCCCTCCCCGCCCGATCGGCACGTTCGATCAAACGGCGTCGCCCACACGTTAAACGAATGCACGACAATAACCGGAATTGCAAAATGTAACAGAGTCTTTCTGCGCATCGCGCCGCACGATCCGCTATACAGCGGCTGCGCATTGCTAAGCGGCGACTTATTCTCTCCGCTCTCGTAAGGGAACGAGAGAGGGGCTCCGCGGAGGCTCCGAGCGTGGGAAGCAGCGTCACTTCCATTCAAATCTGAAAGTCAAATGTGAAGAGGGAGCCGGCCGTTAACCCAGCAGCGTCATCCGCCTCCCAACCGAGGAGAGCGCACGGGGACAGCTGCCTCTGCCTTCCGAGGGATGGAGGACGCCAGCACAGATCCTGGCATAGACCTTGACACCAACACGGGCCCCATCGCCAGCACAGACCCCTCGGCCGGCATGAGACGCCGGCCAACCCAGGTGTGGCGCCATCAAGGCTCAATCATTAGATGTGAACGATTAGTGTGGAGTTTGCCCGGGGGCCTCTCTATTAAATAAACGACGCGGACGCCTGGGCGCGAACGTAAGGGTTAAATCTCCCGCTCACCGCGTGGAGCCAATTCCCTCGGCCACAGCCGCCGGCACCAAACACTCTCCGACAATTTTAGAAAATTAATTCTGGACGAGCGTTTTCCGATAGTGTTTCCAGGGCTCCTGGGAGCCCGGACTATCCCATCACTGATGTAGGTCGCGGAACCAGCTGCAACGGCAAGAGCAGCAGCAATAGCAACAACACAGCAGCAGCAGCAACGCAGCAACACAGCATCAGCACGGCAACAGCAGCAGCAATACAACAGCAACACAGAGTGCAACAGCAGTAAAAAAGTATAACAGCAGCTGTGCGATATTGATGGCAGCAAGGCTGTATCTCGCTCTCACCATTGGTCGGGCCAAGGTGAAGCACACGTGTGGGAGCGTCACCAAGGCCCGAGAGGCCTCACCTGGGCCCTCTGATGGGAGGGGTCAAGGTGGCGGTATGTGGAAAGGAACAGGAAGGAGGGCCCCCCCCCCCCCCATTGTGTTCCCCTCACTGTTCCTCTCAATATCTCAATCATCTTCACCATCTCTCCCGAGCTCCTTCTATTCTCACTCCTCGCTTGCCACCTCCGTCAAACAATCTCAGACACTGATCCTCCACCAATGTGGCGGGCTGCTCGGGTAGAAATTGAGGGTGACCTCCCATGCCCCGTGGGAGCAACCAAACGTAACCTCAGCAGCACGCGCGGCTTGCCGCCCTCCTGCCGGAGGACACGAGCGGACGGTTCCCCATGGCGACACGGCCCAACTCGGAGAGTCGGCCAGAAACGATCCCGAATTCGTCCTGTACTGACTGACACCCCGAGTCGCCCAGCTGAGTGGGGTGGGGGGGGGGGGCGCCCGGCCGTACGGGTAAACGAAGGCAAAGGCTCACTCCAATCATGATGCCGCCTGTACGCTCCGAGGGGTTTACATAATAAAGAGCGGTGACTGTAAGACGTGCGCTGAGACTCCACGCTCCGCTGGCGTGGCCAGTGGGCACATTACAGCGGCAGACAATTGATCTCTAATGGGCCATTTTCTTCACATGAACACCTTCCCTACGCAACTACTGGCGACTACCGGCGATTACAGGTGGCTACCAGCAACTTCACTGGCAGTCGTGAACTTCACTCAATGATTCCTCCACCCACGGCGATCGCTCGGGTCTACCAGACACTCACTGTTTTGTCTCACCCATACGGTGTTCAACCACCAAACTGCAAGACGCAACAACACACTCACCCACTCACCTACCTACCCACCCACTCACCACACTGCAGGTCAAAACTCTTCTCACTCTGTTTCTTCCCTCGCACTGCTCCGCTGTGGAATTCCCTCCCATCATCGTCTGTTTTCCCCAAGCTCGTATAATAACAATAATGACCTTGCTCAATAAAAAAAATGCATTAACTCTCAATCTACCAAATATTTGATAGCGCTGTTTGTCACTGGTTGTTTGACATCCTGGGCCTCAGGGCTTGCGCTTACTAAACTGTGTTAAAATCTCCAGACACCAAAACAAGATTTGCTCATCACCCGTGGTGCTCAAGCGATTGTGAGTGGTGCTACTGGCTAAATCGCGGTGGCCTGGGCACACCAAGGGGCGTAATGCGAGCTGTTAGGCTGACCGCCCGTGTAGCGGTGTACGCACACATTTTAACACTTTCACAGAGTTTTTTACATCTAAGAACCACGGTTGGGTGGCCTCCTGCTGCTTCTATTTATTAAAATAAGATACAATGAAAATTGAAACAAATAAGAGAGAGAGCCGCCAGGCGTGATATTGCAGTGGCGGAATGGCCGTTACATAGCGGCGCGTGGCGTGGGCCTCGAGTCGGCGCTCCGTCGCGGCCCTTCCCCGCATTGTCACCATGGAGGCTGCGAGGTGGCCGGGTGGCCGAGAGATCAGGGCACCGAGCCTGGCACTGGGGTTCTCACAGTGCGCAAATTGACAGTCGCAGCTCCGTTCACGATAAAGACGCTAAATTTGCTTTGTGACTTAATTTGGCTAGATATCTGCTCTGATAAATTAAACCGTGGGACCCCCTAGAGACACGATTAATCATTGCCGTTATTGAGGAGCGTTGATTGTTTCGTTATCTGCGTGTGTGCATTGCTGCCAAACGGGTGACCACTCAATCATCTTGCGTCGTCTTCCAAGTCGACTGTCAAGCTACGAGCAGCGTGGCTCTTCCATCGCAGGGCACGTGGCAACGTGTGGGCCCTCGAGTGCGTGGACCAGAGGTCACATGAAGGGATCTCAGATGTGACTCTGTGATATCCGTTCCGTGGGCCTCCTCCAAAAGAAGGGTTGCCACTGCTCCATGAGAGATCCAAAAGAATTCTCCGTCTGAAGAGGACCTGACGCCGATACCGCCGTTGCGGTGAGGTAAAGGAGAAACAGGGAAACGTCAACACGAGCATGTCTTGTACTCCGGTGCCGCGTAACCAGTCTGCCGCGGCAAAGCCCCAGGTGTGCCGCAGTGATTTTGTAATTATCGGGAAGAACCTCACAGTTCACGAGTCGAGCCAAAAAAAATCTTCGTATCGGTCAATGGCCGATCCAGTCTCCACCCACCACTGGATTGCGTGCTCAAAGCATTGCACCGCCATGGCACCAGCAGCATCCTGAATATCAATCATTAAATAAAGAAACCGCAAGAAAAAACAAAGATGGTGATTTTTTTTGGTTCAGTGTGCCACAACGATCGAGCAAGTTCGATAGTGTGTGTGGTTTCACCATGGAGTGAAAGTGGTTGAAAGTGGTTGAGAGGCACCACCTCCTTCGTATCCGCCTGTTTAACCTCAGCACAGCCCAAAACAAAGCCAGGCATTATTGCTATTGATGATGCCGTTACGACCGTTACAGCCACAGCCATTATCAATCACGCGGGCCTTCTGTCACCCGCACAGGACAGCGCCACTGCTACTCACTGTAGCTCACTTTACAGCTGCCACTTTTTGTCCTGCATCTACACCTCACCACACACACCACCACCTCACCACATGTCACCACCTCCTCACCACACACACCACCACCACTATGTTACAAAAACACTCCTGTAACCTGTCGGAAAGAATATCTCCTCTGTTGTTGTGTTCGCTGATTTTATGCGCGTGGACTCGGATTCGTCTAGAAGATCATGCGGAATTATTATCATATCCGTGCCGTGCCTTTGTTTGTGCCCCTGTGGAGCGAGCATAGCTCATAACATACAGAGGAACAAACCAGAGGAGAGCAGGAAGAGGGGAGAGAAGCGGCGAGAGGGGGAGAGGGAAGCCGAGAAGCGGGGAGAGGGGAGCGGGGAGAGGGGAGCGGGGAGAGGGGAGCGGGGAGAGGGGAGCGGGGAGCGGGGAGTGGGGAAAGGGGAGAGGGGAAAGGGGAGCGGGGAGCGGGGAGCGGGGAGAGGGGAGCGGGAGTGGGGAAAGGGGAGAGGGGAGAGGGGAGCGGGGAGCGGGGAGGGGAGAGGGAGAGGGGAGAGGGGAGAGGGGAGAGGGGAGAGGGGAGTGAGGAGCGGGGAGAGGGGAGCGGGGAGAGGGGAGAGGGGAGAGGGGAGAGGGGAGCGGGGAGAGGGGGGCGGGGAGAGGGGAGAGGGGAGAGGGGAGAGGGGAGCGGGGAGAGGGGAGAGGGGAGCAGGGAGAGGGGAGCGGGGAGCGGGGAGCGTGCTCCGCCTGCCAATGAGCTCCGCGCCACCGCTGCACCTTGTTATCGGCGGTGCTAGCTTGCATACAAATGCACAGCGCGAAAGTGAAATCCGCGGAAGCCATCAGTGGCTAGGGCCATCTCGAGACAAACATCACAGGGCAGCCGACGTACACTCGCCGCTGAATAGTATTTCCGGTGGCGACGTCGGGCAGAGTGTAGTGCGTGTGCCAGGCGCGTGCATGCGTGTGCGTTCCCGTGAGTCTGTGTTGTGGGAAGGGGAAGTGTCGTGGCTTATCTGGTGAACCTGAGTTCGATTCCCGCTCAAGGCAAAACATTCATGATGAATATCTGAACTGGACCTGATCCTCCCCTCAGTCGATTCAACTTTAAAAGAGTGGTGCGTAACCATCAGCACTGAGGAGGGAAATGTGTCTGGGTGTGGTGCTGGCCACACCACTCGAACTGAGAGGTTCCCCGTGCCAGACTCACAGGAAGAAGGGGTGCAGGCCAGTGAGCGTGCTCTTGCTGGGCTCAGCGGTGAAGTTGCTGTTGGCCTGCACCACCTTGTTGACCACCAGGCGCAGGTAGTCCTGCAGCTGCCTCCTGCGGCCCTCCACGAAGCGCGAGTCCTGTAGCCACCGCCACCGCCAACGACACAGAGGCAGCATCAGCGCACGCGGTCTCAGAGACACGGGGGGGGGCACAGAGTCACGGCGGTTTCCTGCTGCGCAAGTGCCCCGCACAGCCAGTGTTGCTGGCAAGTGGCCAGCAACAAGCAGCTATTAAAATTATAACGGATGAGAGTTGACACATTTCTTGAAGTGAGCAAGTTTATTGCAAGAACTTTAAAAAAAGAGACGATGGAAGGAAATTTCAAAGTGGAGCAGAGCAAGGAAAGAAGCAAAGAGAGAAGTAAGGTGACCTGCGGTGTGGTGAGTGGGTCGCAGGGTGAATGAGTGGGAGAGTGGCTGCGTGCAATCGAGCGAGGCTACAAGAGCACGGAAAAAAGAGTCTCTCCACAGGACATCCACTGTTGATGTTCCCCAAAAAGTGGCACTTGACCCCGGAGGTATGGATGATGAGCCGAGTCAACCCCTCCCCCCGACATCCAGGATGTGAACTCGGGACCTGCTCGCTCCACCGCTGAGCCGCCCTGCCATCCTGGCGCTTTGTGGAATTTCCTTGAGCCGGGCTCGTAGCTCGAGTTTTTCACCGCTTCATTTGTAATGTCTCCCTTCGATTCCCGCGCGGTCGTGTGTCTGCACCGTTGGCTTAATCACATCGGCACGTTACGAGCACCTCATCTCAAACGACCAATAGCCCCGTGCGTGGTTCACTGCATCTGTCATAAGAATCGAGTTTAACTGAGAAATCGATGCCACCGATTCACACCGAAACAGCAGTGGAGTGGACCCGATAAGGCCCCATGACCACGACGACTTCCACTCTGACCATCACAGCACAACAACGGCCGCACCCCCCTCCTCTCGCCATCCTCCCACGGTGTCATCGCGTCGCGAGCCCAAACTACCGTGACCTCCGCGAGCAAGCACACTCTCACTGCTAATTAATCTCCATCGCGTGACATAAGCCAGAGCCCTGCCAACGTCTCTCTTTCAAGCAGTAAACACGGCATATAATGCCTCCATGGGGGCGGCAAGGAGATCAAGGCTTTCCGAGGGGGGCAGCAGCTCCCAGCGAGGAACAACACAGCCCTGAGGTGGTAGAGCCACACTCACACACGCACACACTCACACGCGTGCAATCACACACGTGCGAAATCACACACGCATGCACACACTCACACGTGCACAATCACACACACGTGCACTCACGCTCATGTAGACTCACACATGCGTGGACTCGCGCACACACGCACACACGCGGACTCACGCGTACGGAATGTTCTCACGCACACACGCGCACGTACGTGCTTATGCACGCAAAGACAAAGATCTCCCCCGTATAGCCTTAACAAACTGTTGGGGCAAGTGATGTAAGTGAGCACCTATGAAGGCCGGCACAGCACGGCATGCGAGGGGATGGGTGGCCAGCACCACACCCGGATGCCTTTGTCTCCCCAGTGGTGCTGTTTACACACCACACCAGGTACTCATTTAAGGCTGTGTCGACCTAGGGGAGGCCCATGACCGGTTCAAATATTTGTCACCGATGGTGGCCATGACCGGGAATCGAATTCGGGTTACCGGATTCATATTTCTACGCGCTCACCGCTGCACCAGCGTTCCCCACATACAGGTGTTCATGCACGTACACACGCACGCACGCGCGCGCGCGCGGGGCGCTGGGCCTGGCTGCGGCGACGGCCACGAGGCCGGTGACGCCGAGAGGCGGAGTCGCGCCCGCCGGCGCTCAGAGCGGAGCAGGGGGAGTGCGCGGGTGCCGTGCACGGCCGACTGTAATTGGGACGCTAATGGACCCCGCGAAGACGCTTCCCGCAGCCAAGACTCTGTTATTATTCCTCCTTCACGGAGCCATCCATTAGCACATTAATGTAGTCGCTCTCCGGCTGGATGCGCGTGCGCCGTCTACATGAGACCCTTCCAACACTCCACCGGCCGCCACGCGCCGCCGATGGGCGCCGCCCTCCACTCAGCGGGCCCACCGCGGCTGCCCATTACCGCGGCGCCCCCAACGCCACCACTGCAGCAGCAGCAATTTGCGATATCAGTCGTGGCAAGAGCGTTGGCTGCGCATCGGACTGCAACGTTTGCTGCACGTTTACGATTAGAACACCGAACTTGACAAGGACTGAACAACTGAGGAGGTGGAATGAGGAGGCATGAATGAGGTGGCGATTCGGTAGCAACGAGGTGGAACTTGGAGGGGATAATGCGGTGGGGAACGAGGAGGTGGAAGGTGGGCATGCACGGCTCCGCTCGTCTGCACTGCGGACACTAATTGAAGCCAGTGAAGAGATTCAATCAGCGAGCGTTATAAATAGCTCCTGCTGCGGGGACTCGCAAATACGCGCCGAGGAACGTTAATCACGGGGTTTGTGCGTTAATCGCTCAGCCAACGGCTCCCGAGCGTGTCCATCCCTCCACGCGTTCGTGTCTTCTCCAGCTTGCGCTAAAGGTACACGACGCTTGGCCCTGGGGACCCCCAATCCTCGCCCGCACTGGCCCACGTTCCTCATCCTCACTGGCGAGGAAGCAGCAAGAGAGGAAGCAGCGAGCGTGAAAGGAGCGAGCGTGTAAGGAGCGAGGAGTGAGTGAGGGGCGAGAGGTTACGGCCACCTTGTTGCCGAGGGCCTTCTTGGGCGGCAGCTTGAAGGAGTCGACGAGTGGGTGCTGCTTGCGCAACGAGTGGTGCAGTGAGCGGAACGCGCTGTAGCGCCGGTACACGTTCCATTCCTCGTCCCGCACACGCACGTACACCTGCTCGCACGCATGCACCATCCGAGACGTCACACAAGCACGCATACCGGCTCGTGATGCACGCACACATGCACAGGCTGTCACGCACGCGCCGCCAGACACATTGCACGCACAACCGCTCTCGATGATATTTGGACTACTCTTCTACGCTGACCAGACGTGGTGGAAGAGGTGGGAAGAGTACCCACACTTTACCCCACCACTTATGACCAGCTGACCGTTTATGCTGCTGGGTGGACAGAGGCAGTGGGGGGGGGGGGGATTTAAGAAACTTGCCACGCTGGGAGATGGAATCGGACCGGCGACTGCTGGATTGCAAGTCCAGTGTCGTAACTATTGCATCGCCATGGCGGCTCCCTTAGCTTTACTACGGTAACAATGGCGCATTTATCTTTTTGGACGTTCCTGTGTGTGCGGCATATCGATAGCCGGCTTCTCGCCATTTCATTCCGTGCGGTCACCAGTACAGCAAGATCGATTTACACAACGCCAACAAGGAGCGGCACGTGGGATAGCGCGTAGACTCATCGATTACATTCGCAATGAGATCCCCACGCTCACGACGTGGATGCGTCGTCCACGTGCTCCGACGGTTGTCGCTCGTTAATCTGGCAATGGTCACAGTGTCTCAGAATGGTTCTCGCGCGGCGACGTGAACGTGCGTCAGCTCGTCCCCGTGAGCGTCATTACTCTAATGATGACCTGCTGTCACATTTATACGATGAGACCAACGAAACGGTGTGAAGTTTATGGCAAAAATGAGATGCCAGTTACTGAACTGAATAAATAATGAAAAGCAAACTGTGAATGAGCCAGAAGAGAAAAGTGTTTAATGAGCATGCGTTACCTGCTAGGCCACGCAGCGGAAATATGGACGCCGTCACGGGCACTGCAGGACTGACCCGAGGCCCTTCACATGGAAGCCATGGGAGCGGGGCTAACGACCATCGTGGTTGTCACCGTCTTAGCATCAACAATAGAGCAATACCCACCCTGAATAACTACCGTCGTATTGTGTGCTGGTGAGCTCACAGTGCTAAACACATCCTGCCCGAAAAATGTTGGGCAGTTCACCACCATTGGTTTAAGCCAGACTCTGCTGAGGTGCTGAATAATGAATTCCGACGCAGAGTTTGTGCTTGCGGTCAACCAATGCTGCTGCAATGAACACACTCAGATAAGGCTGTGGTTCTAATGGAATAAACAAAAACATTTATGTTCATTCCATTATATATTTTTTTTATGTTGGAGGACAAATATAGGCAGGATGGAGGCATGCTGTCTACTTATTGATTTTGTGCTAAACAGAGCGAAGGTGAAGTCATCACACGACCAATCAGACAGTCGCACCGCTGGCCTTGCACCCGCGTTCAGCACCGTCCAGAGCGGCACACCGGCTGCTGCTGCTGCTGCCATGGTTACCCAATCCTCTCCCGTCCTCGGAATAAATCACAAAACCCGCACCGGCCTCCACCGCTGTAGGCCGCGCGCGCTGCCCAGCGCTTTGTTGTGCTAACGTGAGACCCTGCTCGTTGTGGCCGCGAGCTTCATTACCCTGCATTGCCAGGGTTTTCAATAAAAAAATTCCGACTAAACCTCAACTCTAAATTATCAGCGGCATCGTAGCAGAGAATTGAAGTTTCAAAATAAACGTGTGTTTTATAGCTTCGCATCAATTGAGCACCTGTATTTAACAGAGAGGGCCCTTGCCTGTAACCACGTGGCGGTTCACCAGCATTGGTCGAGATTTTTCTTGTGTTGAGCCAATCAATGCCGCTAAAATGATGCACCCCGAGAAGGCCGTGTGGCTAATTGGATGTTTAAAAATATACTTTCATTTTGTTACGTGGAGAAAGAAATGTGTAAAGGAGGGAGACGGTGTTGGAGAGAGGAGCCAGGGTGGGAGATTAACTCTGTCAGGGTCAGGTTAAAAGGTCAAAGCCCCACCACAGGCTCCTGCAGTAACGGGAGCCAGCAATTCTACTTTCTGTTCAAATGGGTATCGAGGCATGATGCCCATCTCCTGATCCAGGGGCAAATCTATACATAGACAACCGCTGTTAACTTCAATTTATCTGTTTGGAAGGATGATGGCCTACCATCCCAATCCGAATTTGAGCGCATGACCTTCCGATTGCGAGCCGCTCACTCTACCGCCAGGCCACTCCGCCATCGGAGACGAGGCCTCTTTGAACATGGGCCCTCTGCGCACTGGAGCCACGAGCTGCCTTCCCGTGTCCCCAAGCGGTGGCAAGCGTGACCCTGGCGTGCCACAGGGTAAGCGAGCGGAAATAAACCACGAAAGCGGGACTGCGTCAACACGAGCAAGCACACGAGATCGCTTGAACCCCTCGCTCGCGCCGGGTGCCTCCCGCGCGTCACATCTGAGCAGTCACGGCCTATGTGGCACGGGTCTAAACAAGGCCACTAAAGTGGCCGCCCTGGTCCTGTGAGTCCCAGGGCCTGGGCAGGGCCCGGGGGTGCTCTGAGGCCTACGTGAAGCCTCGGCGGAGCAGGGCCCTGGATGCAGGGCCCGGTCGGCGAGGCCACCGGCCCTGGGTGGGTGCCATCCCAGCCGCGTTGTGTTCGTGTCAAAACAGATGCCCGCACGTTGTTCGCTGCGGGCCTCAATCGGGCGACGGAGTCTCCACCCAAGCGGCTGGCATTAACCCGTAGTGCGCCCGCTTGCTCCAACGCGTCCTGCTACACTTGTTTTTCCTGGAGGGTTGCATACGCTGCCAATACGGACCGCACTGGGGCTGCCTCGCCCCGGGCACCGAAGAGCAATCATAAAATGCAAGCTCGCATTTCACGTTTCCTGAAATTTTTCAAAGAATTAATTCACAGCCCGGGGCAGCTAAAGAATTAATAAGTAGCATGAGCCATGCTGGGAGAGATGTGAGAGCTTTGATAGCTATGTACACGCGCAGCAAACACGAACAGCAACAACACAAGCATGAAGCGCAGCCATTCGGCTTTTGAAGGACTGAACCGTGCTGGCGTCATTGTTAATTAATGGGCTGTACATTGGGTGAAGGCATTTTGGGAAAATTCCCCGGCTCAAGCGAGCTACTGGCGTAGCGGGAGTCAGCGTGGCTGCTCTGGGATAATAATCACAGAAATAAGCGCTCCAGCCAACTCGGCATCAAAACAGCAAAAGTAAAATCATTACAAAGCCCTTTGATAGTCAGCCGCGGCACGGCACAGGGAGGCCGAGGCCCCGGCGAGCACCGCCACCACGTTGCCCCCCGCCCACCACCAGCCCTGCACTGCGCTCGCAATGGATGTCTGTGAGCCAGGTGGCTTTGATGAATTATGCAGACAGCCAGGACTGCCGGTCTCGCTGGCTGTGAGCACGGAGAAGGGAAACCCTCAACGATAAATCTACATAACCCACGAGGAGGAAGGCGTCTATCACGAGGAGTGGACGCTGTGCCTCCACGTGGTGAAGACTAGGCCTCCCTTTGCTAATAAGAGTCATTGAAAAAGCTCGGTTTCCACGCCAAAGACTTCGTCTTGAACTCCCAGCGCTTATTGCTGCTGCTGTGACTGCACAGAGCACAAATTGGGCCAAAGTGGGAACCCTGTTGTAATCTTTGGGGTCGTGCACTTGATTTAAAGTGAAGCAGCAGTCAATGACGTGGCACTCACCGATTCACTCCACTCATTGATTAACTTCACTCAGCTGCTCACTGGTGGCCAGTGGCCTCCTCTTCAATCTTCTATCGCTACTACAACCGCGGTTACTGGTCCCATTGGTCCCGTAGTTTAGTACCAGTTGACTAGGCCCATCATCACCATCCCTCCAAGGTCAATAAAATATATACTATTTTGTGGTAAGTGAACAGCGGTTGCCCTAAAGAGCGACCGTCCGTTGACTTGGGAATGTGGGATTTCTACCGTCGCCTCGGGGCCACCTGTAGAGAAGAATGGTGGAGCAGGGAGACACTTCGACTTGTTTCGTGAGATTTTGGTACCGGCCCTCCTCCCCCAACCCCCATCACCCCTCCCCCACCTCAGACGGTGGTGACTCAAGCGCACATTGATCTGGCACGCAGTAAACACCGGGCTGTGCCGGTGCTGCCACTGCAACGCCAGACGGCCTGTGCAACCGCGCGAGAGAGGCGGAGATGGGTGCCACCGCCAAGGGCCGCCCTTACGTCCCCGCTGCCCGCCCATGGCGCGGGGGGCACCTGGCGCTGGTACTGCTTGATGTCGAGATGCTCCGGAGTGTAACCGCGGAACGAATTTGACGATATGGCGCGGCCGCTCGCAACGGAAAGGGAGGGCATGCATGTGTAGCCGGTGCCACTCAGTGGTGGGAACGTGCCGGTACGCGAAGGTGCTCCTGCGCATCTGAGAACACCAAACGCGTGTGGACCGGCACTTTTCACAACGGTTTCTGATTCCTATGCCGCGGTGTTCGCCCAAAGGGCATGGCTGCTGCGGGACGAGTAGGGTTCACAGTGCACACTGCACGGGAGTGCACACGTTTTCTTGCAAACAACACCCACCTACCCATCAACCAAGGCCTCAACAATGTCACCTCGCCACCAACTGAAGTTCCGATCCCCCTTCTGGGATCACACGGTCACTGTCCTCGAATCTCACCCAGATCCGAAAGAATGCTGGTGAACAGAGGGGAACAAGGTGGAAGTCCAGAATAAACACTTAATTCGAAACCCAAACATCGGACCTCCTGGCTTTAACATTCCTTCTTCTCCTCAAAGACACTAGTGGAACCATAAAGCGCATCATCAGAACATAACTAGGCTGAATAATTAAAGACAAGCCATTCTAGTGGAAATGTAGCCATGCAACTCAGACTATGGACCATACAGTAAACCATTGCGGTTCTGTGCTCCTTGCACAGAGGAGGAGGAACAGTAAAACGACACAAACTCTCTCTCTCTCTCACTCTGCTGAAGCCCTCATGTCGTGGCCAGCAGCAGATCTCGACATTGGCACCATCGAGCTCCTGAACGCATTGACATGCACAA